GATGAGGACCGTCTCAAATTATATACATACTTGATACTTCTAGTTCAATTTTCTTTTTAACGTAGAAAATATATTATTTTTTCATTAGAAAATATTTTAAGAAAACATTCGTGATTTCTAGAAACAAAGAAAAGAATTATGAAAGACAAAGATATTGATCTTAATTTGTAATATAGTAGTTTGCATTATAGTATTACCGTCATCGTTTTTCTTTTTTGAGTTGTATAACCAATAATATATTAAGAAAATAGATTAAAAATATCATATGTAAATTTATAATTATGACGACCTCTATTAACAAATTGTGATATATTCTGTTCGCCGCATAAATACACTTGCATTTTGCATCATTTGAAACATTATGGCAAACAAGAAAGTAAACCAAAGATTGCTAAAAATGGTGGCCCTTCTTCTTCTTCTTCTTTTTCTTTAAAGTTTAATCAAATACTTAATCATTAGATTATTTATTTTCTTATAGCTTTTATCCACTTATGTTTCTTTTTTTTTTTTTTGACAGCATCCACTTATGTTTCTTAAAATCTTTTGTATCGATTTAAAGCATCACTTTGAGTGTGACAAACCCACCAAGAATGTTTTCTTGAATTTCACCTGGCGCATTACAAGTATGTAAAATTTGAGCACTAAATCGATATTAAGATATTAATCTTTTTTTTTGGAATATATTTCTAGTAACTTTTGGCCTACTTTAACACAGATGGGTAATAACTGTCTTTGTTTATAACTGCATCTATTTTCAACCACAAGTTTAACAATATTTATCCTATTACATTAATGCTATTACTGACCAATATTAACCACATAAAAAGATGTCATCCTCGGATTTGGTCGAATCTATACAGAACATTATTATAAAAATACATATACACGAATAGTATTTAAGAATTGGTTTTGGACCTAGACACAGTACTACGTACAGTAGACACCATGATCCTTCTATTCAAAACGTCAGTCAATATTAAAAATGATTCCAAAGAAGTATTTGTGTTATGCAAAAACTGAATCCTTGAAAGATATGTACCCCAATGACTTTTTTTATTTGTTACGAACGAACTTTTTTTTGTTAAAGATTACGAACGAATTTTGATAACCCATTACATTGTTTAATTCATGATTTATTCCAATTTGTAGATATTGGGAATTTCTCAATTTAAAAGATTATTCATACTTTATATATATAAAAAAATTGTTGATGAGTCAAGTATGAAATGCAAAAAGAACAAATTTACAAAAGGGAACACAAGAAGACAAAGAATGGTGGAGGCTCTGGTGATAGTGCTTCTGCCAACAATATCAAAGCATAGAACGTTTTCGAGGCTACTAATGAAAAACTAAAAGTGTAATATAATTGTTCTGAGAGCTTTCTATAATTTGTGGAATGACAAATTGATAAAATGATGTTGTGTGATTATACAATTTTATCAATCATATAACAATTTCAATATAAACCGAAGACCAACTCATTTCATGGTCAACAATAGTTGAACGTCCAAAACCGAAGTATAGCTTACAACAATTTTTCTTTAAAAAAATGGTGGAATCAACATTTTTACAAAGAAAGAAATTATTCAAATCGATCTCTACATGAAAGAGAAAATTTGCGGATATATCTCTCCATAGCGAAAGAAAGTAATGAAAATGATCTCTTCTTAACGGAAGAAGTTGGAGGGAGTACTCTCTTTTATGGAGGATATTAGGCTAGAAACATAAATATTGCTATATTGCTAAACAAGAGTATGAAAGTATCAACAATTAAGCCGAAACGAAATTTGATGGGTTCTTTGAGGCCCATTAGAGTGAGACAATGGGTTAGGCCTGCTTCATCACTACGCCGGAAACAATATCCGACGGAACTAAGTGCCCCAAAGAGAGGAATCTAAGCAGAACAAAGACTTGATATCACCAGAGAGAAGGCATACACGGTGATGGCCGAAGCTTCCTTATTGTGAGTGAAAATGAGCTTCATCACCTTGGCGTTTTAGGGATGATGAATAGACTTCCCCTTGAAGTAAAACTTTAGCTTTTTTTTTGGTATAGTTCACTATCCTAATAATTTTATTACTTTGCTCCATTTTTTTCTAGATTACTAATGATCACTATTTTATTTTCATCTAAAACATATTATCTTATCGCCATCAAAAAATATAGTTTTGACAAGTCACAGGTGGGGAGTTCCAAGAATAACATATACTCCCTCTGTCCCAAATTATAGGATGTTTTAGCATTTTTTCTTTGTTCCATTTTATAAGATTTTCCTAGTTTTCTATGCATAATTTATGTTTATTTAGTATGTTATGATCATTTAAATTCTGCAGTCTTTTTTTCTATTGGCTGAATTCCTATAAAAAGGTAAACATTAACTATTTCTTAATCTTTATGTTTTTACACAAAACATCTTATAAGTGGGACATAGGGAGTATATTTGTATTCAAATTTTAAATAGTCCAAAACTTTTAAAAAATAATGGGATTAAATAATTTGTGCATTTGTAAAAATAAATCATGTACCATAATTCATAAAAAATTTTGGGAATTTTTTTTAAAAAACATGAACTTGAAAATTGAGGACATTTTACTCCCCAATTTTGAAAATATCGACTAAATCGTTAAGTTTTTTTTTGTTGGTTTCATAAATAGATGACAAATTTTGTTGATTTGATCATTAGAGGCATGCCGTCCCAAATTTGAAAGTTCATGCTATTTTGATATTATTTCTATAACTAAAGACCAATGTTCAAACTTTCTATAACCGAAGAGCAATGTTCAAAGGCGAAAACGGCCTAATGCCGTAAACAAACAGAAGTTCTAACAAGTAGTTAATGTCGTAAACGGATATGACTATCTACTTAACGACATGGCTATAATGGCCAAGTCAACAAAAATTCGTCATTTATTTATGAAATCAATAAACTTAATGATTTAATCGATATTTTTAAAGTTGAGATTAAAACGTCCCAAATTTGAATGTTCATACTTTTTGATATTTTCACATTGTTTTTCGTAGTGGACAAGGCGTAAAAAAACAAAAGTACAGGAAAAAAAAAAAGAAAATCGTTTGGTAACACTTCTCTAAGGTTCCTTTGAGATTTGATTTTGAATTCAAGATGATGAAGTAATTTTGTTTGTTTTTCTCTTGAGAGAATGTGACATTATTTCGTCTTTGAATCTACCTATATATCTTTCATGACGTTTATGAATAAAGGTTTTTCTAATAGCAATGGATATCAACAGAAATCTGATGTTCTGTTTATGATAAAACCATGAAAAAAACTAACAGTAGCACCAAAAGAGTGTCTAGGTATGTTGTCTTAACATATTTACATCATTGTGGTACTCTTAGATAATGTACTAATGTAAAGCCTGGATAAAGCACCGTTCTCCTGATGACTCGCTTTGTGAAGACAGAGCCATTTTCATAAAGTATTCTGCTCCAAAACAACAATGCTCCACTCCTCTGGCAAAAGAAAAAATCGAAACAAAGTGAGTAGGAAAGTCAGTATGAAACAACAAAAGAATTTTAGTAGCTCAATAGTTAAATACTTATCGACACATTAGTGGTAACTGATAACTAGTTGATCATTAACTATTAAATAGAAACCAGTTTGGATTGTTTGTGAGCCAATTGTTTAAAAAATAATAATAAATAAAAAATTTAGAAAAAGAAAAAAAGTCATCTATATATACATTTTTGGAACAATTTTAGCAAATAAATCCTGGGGTTGAGCAGTATTTACAAAGAATGCCATTGACATTTATTATTAATTTTACAAAATTTAAATAAAAGATATTAACCAAACAATATTTTGCCTAATTTGTTTCTAAAAATCTCTACACAATCTTTCCATATATCTTAAAAAACTTTATAGCAAATATTTATATTAACATTTTGCATAGCAATAAAAATACTAATTTATAATAATCAAAATATTCACATAGAAAAATCAAATACACATACAGGAAAAAGAACTATATCTATCATCATTTAAGCCGTTGCTTTATTTAAAAAAAAAAAACACAAAAACTTGAAATCATATACTTCATATGATAAATTTAAAATATATATTAGTAGTATAAATTTAAAATCGTTCAAATAACGGTATACTACGGGTGAGATCCTAAAATTATTAGATTTTATAACAATAATAATTTATTTTCTTGGATTTTATAATACTAATAATTTAGCTAACGAGATAATATAGACGGGTTTATATGGGATGACGGGTTTGGGTCGATATTAATAAATAACGGTATATCACGGATGAAATCCTAAAATTAACAATCAAAATACAATTATACAATCTTAAACACAAAACAAAAGAAACAATATTAACAAAACAAATCCAATTTAAATTTAAAATTTTTAGTTATAAAAAAACGACCCACGGTATACTGCAGAGTAAAATATTCAAAATTTTAAAATCCACAATACATCGTTACTTAAAAAAAATGTATGTTTTCGTATCTATACTTCAAAAATTGATAGATAGATATCTACATTTAAAAATACAAATTAATGTGATATATCTTCAGTTAATCTTTTAAAAAATAACATTACATTTTTTTAAAAAATATAGCCCCGCAGTATACTGCGGATTAAATTCTAGAAAATAATATAAAAGTCATAATAATTGTTTTTAGAATGCTATGAATTAAATAATATAAAAGTTATGATCGTATAATTTCATTCCTTCCGAGAAAATAATTGAAAGGCAGAGAAAAATAAAAGAGCCCATCATCGAGAAGGATTAGTAAAAAACCTAAGGCCTATCTCTAGCAACTAACATACATTCTCGACTAAATTTTGATCCGATCAAGAACTCATTATTGTAACAGATAAAGTCAAATTTGAGAGATCCACTACTAAATCTAACTTAAAAGCATTGGACTTTTTTTTTTCTTATCTCATCTCCTTTGCTCTGCTTTCTTCTGGTCAACCCCACGATATTCCTTCTTATATGTGATTGTAAAGAGAGAATTTTTCAGAGATGGGTCTCTTCGAATCGGTGAAATCAATCGATTGGGAACAAGAATCGTTCCCAACTTATCAGGATTTAGGGTTTTTGCCTCTCTTTGCAGTGTTCTTCCCTACAATTCGATTTCTACTTGATAGATTCGTCTTCGAGGTAATTTTACTTATTCTTACACCTTTGGGATTTTAGATTTGTTGTTTCTTTCTTCAATCGCATTTATTGTTATTTCACCAACCAACAAAAAAAAAACATCACTTTCAGATTTTTAGTAATGACCCTTGAGAGAGACCAATCATTACTCTTGACTCGTGTCTCTCTGTATGAATCTGCTGTTGTTTAGATTTTGTCTTAAAATAAATGCAATGTAGATGAAGATTTGTTTGGTACTTTTGGTAGGTGAAAGTTTACATTTTTGTTTTATTGGTGTTTTGTAGAAATTGGCAAATCTTGTGATCTATGGAAGGAAGAGTACGAATAAGAGTGACAACATAAAAGAGAGGAAGAAAAATAGTCGAAAAGTTCGAAAATTTAAAGAATCAGCTTGGAAGTGTATTTACTATCTATCAGCTGAGCTACTTGCTTTATCTGTGACTTATAATGAACCTTGGTTTTCAAATACTCTCTACTTTTGGATTGGTCCTGGAGATCAGATTTGGCCTGATCAACCGATGAAGTAAGTTGTTTCGTTATGGTCATCGATCTTTTGCGATGGGAATTTGCTAAATATGATACTCTTATGTGCAGGATGAAGTTGAAGTTTTTGTATATGTTTGCTGCTGGATTCTACACGTACTCCATATTCGCGTTGGTGTTTTGGGAAACAAGACGGTCTGATTTCGGAGTTTCGATGGGTCATCATATCACAACTCTTGTTCTCATTGTCCTCTCCTATATCTGCAGGTATGTATAACCTATGTTTATACACTTGTGTTGTGGAGGAAAGGATTTAACTTTGCTCTGATTTTCTTTTGTTTTTTCGATGTTGATGATATAGATTAACTCGTGCTGGTTCTGTTATTCTTGCACTTCATGATGCGAGCGATGTGTTCCTTGAAATTGGGAAAATGTCGAAGTATTGCGGAGCTGAAAGTCTTGCGAGCATTTCGTTTGTTCTTTTCGCGTTGTCTTGGGTCGTTCTACGTCTCATTTACTATCCTTTTTGGATCCTGTGGAGCACGAGGTTTGTTAATATCCCCCCGAGCGTTTTTCTTGAATGTTTTTCTTGACTTCTTGATGTATATATTGTGATTTTTGATTTGCAGCTATCAAATTATTATGACTGTAGACAAAGAAAAGCATCCTAATGGACCGATCTTGTACTATATGTTCAACACACTTCTGTATTTCTTGCTTGTTCTTCATATATTCTGGTGGGTTTTGATTTACCGGATGCTCGTGAAACAAGTGCAAGATCGAGGCAAGCTTAGCGAAGATGTTAGATCCGGTACGCAACAAAAAATCTACTACAATTTTTTGGACCATCCAAGTAGAGAAAAAACCCGCTTTTAATGTTGTTCATTTCTTTTGCAGATTCTGAAAGCGATGATGAACACGAGGATTGATTGCAGATTCGGAATATTAGTGCCTGCGCGTTGTTTTATCTCATGAACCTGAACCACACGGAGACTTTAGATTTCAACATGAAGCCAGATTGATTGCAGTATGTTTTGCTAGAATTTTTAACAGTTGGTTCATCATCTTCCAGAGGATTGTAACCGGAATGAATCGGTTTCTCAATCTGAATTTTGAGTTTATTGATTTCTCTAAAAGTTTGAGCAAATTCAAGATTTTGATTAGACACACTGCTCAAACACTGCTCCACTTTTTATTTTATTTTTCTTCCATAGTTTTAATTGTATGGACTACATTTATGCTTTTGCAATAACACAATTCCTTGTATCATTATAATGTCATCTCAAAATTAGCTCCCTTCAACATCTATGCAACAGATTAACACTAAATGAATTTTTTTGGTTCAATGCATAATTTGATCATCTTTTAGTAATCTCCTAAACATAAACAGTACATAGACAATTAATTTGAATAATCCAATAAAATATTTGGAAACAATAACAAATAATCTCACAAATAAATGAAAAAAAAACAAAGCATTTACAGAGGCGCACAATAGCGTTTGGGGTTTGTTTTGGGGTTTTAGATTTATCGCTGTCTTGGACGAGAAGACTGAAACCAATTGCAACAAAAAGAAGAAAAAAGCTCTCTTCTTTGTTCATCATCGATCGATTCTTCTGCAAAAAAAAAGTACGTCTTTTTCACTTCTCTGCACTAAAACCTAAATTTTCTTGCTTTTTGTTTTCTGGGTCGTCTCTCGTTTGCTTCCCAACTCTTGAAATGTATAAATTTTGAGAGTTTTCTGGAGATTTTGAGTTGGGATTGTTATCATGTTCTTAAAGATTTGAGTTTCAATCTCTATATGGATAAGTAGATTTGTTAGAAGCTTTATTTTTGGATATCAGTATGATTCGGATTTTTGGAAAAGATTCGATTTTTACCATAAGATCTGTACCAAATTTGAGTTGGGGTTCTGGATTTTTTGTTAAGCATAAGATCGGTACTAAAGTTTGGTTCTTTCATTAGCTCAGTGGATTTTTCAAGTCTTGAAGGTTACTTTACTAAGTAGTTCTTTGAATAAGATCTGTGATTTGATGATTGTTATCTTTTGTAGGTAATGTATACATTGAATTCTCCATTCCATCAATCGACTTGTATAAATTTGATTTGATCGAAACCAAAAACAACCTGTTTTTTGCATCAATTATTCTTGTTTAGCTGTCTTTCTAATCTCAGCCACAAGAGTGTGCAATTTCTTATTTTTAATATAAGATTTTTGATCCTACGACGACTGGTCTATTTTGGTCTTTCATGTTGGGTTTGTTAGTAGATAATGGATACAATTGAATTGTTGACATTACATTTGATCAGAACCAAAGAACTGTCTGTGTTTGCATCACCTGATTTGATTTAGGTGAAATTGTTATCTAAGTGCTTGCATCCTTCTTCAGATGTGTGTGCCTCGTGCTAGCTAAGCTAACTGCATCTTTAATATGGTCTTGGTACAGGTTTGTGAGATTTCGATAAAAGCTAAGAAATGGAAGATGTACTTACCGAGAATCCTCCACCTTCAAGATTCTTCCAAGAAGATCTTAACAACTTTGTTCCGCCACATGAATCCCTTCCATCTCCTTTCATCATATTCTCAAACCCGAAACCCGAACTTCCTCTCCGACCATCTCTACTCATCATAGCCATATCTTCACCTTCCCTCTATATTTTCCATAATTTACCTTCAAAGACTCTCCTTGGAAGTCTCATCATGCCTCAAGTCCCGTTTTCTGGAAACACCATGGAACCTTCGTTAGAAGACAAATCCTGCAACATATATTCCTTGAGTAGTACTGATGACAAAAATTCGATCCTCCTCGTCTTTGTTCAGCTTCCTGTATCTCAGCCATGGAGTGTGAAAGCTTGAACTCCTTTTCGAAGGAGAGATTAAAACTAGCCGTGGGAAATTGCTTTCGGGAAAGAATTGCCAAGACGTACTTCTCGTCATCAACATGACAATACAATTCTTTCCCGTCAACAGAAACAGTTGATCCCAACATGACAAGACTGGAAAGAATTGTATTGTCATGTTGATGACGAGAAGTACGTCTTGGCAATTCTTTCCCGAAAGCAATTTCCCACGGCTAGTTTTGATCTCTCCTTCGAGAAGGAGTTCAAGCTTTCACACTCCATGGCTGAAGGATTCATCCATTTCATGGGCTACAAGACTCCTGATTTGGACGGCTATGTGGAGACACCTACATGCAAGAAGAGAGCATCCGAGACCGATGACGTGGTGCCTGCAAAAAAGGCAAAAACAGAGAAAGTTTTACCGACTGGAAATTTGTTCTGCCTTGCATGCAACAAGTAACTCTCTCTCTCTCAATGTTTCGATGTCTTTAATTATAGTATTTGATAATAATAAAAAATTTGCTTGTTGTTGGATGTTTTTGTGGCAGTAATTTCGGCTCAGCGAAGGCTCTCCAGGAACACAACAAAGCCAAACATTAAGTGGTTAGGATATTAAGTGGTTAGGATAGTAGTACGTTGACGATTGCCTTTAATTAGCTTTTTGGTAATTAAAAACATTAATGACTTTTGGTAACCCTCTAGATATGATGAAGATATGACTATATGGAATTATTGTATTGTGTCTGTAATGTCTTTAACAATGGTTATTAATTTATTATAATCTAATCTGTATTTCACAATTGGGATCAAAGGTTTGGTTAGCACTTACCAATCAATTTATATTTTATAATCAGAGTGATCACCTTATAACACAGTTCCTTGTATTGTTATAATGTCATCTCAAAATTAGCTCCCTTGCAACAGATTAACACTAACTGAATTTTTTGGTTTAATGCATAATTTGATCATCATTCTTTTAGTAATCTCCTGAACAATTAATCTATATATACATTTTTGGAGTACATTTAGCAAATAAATAATGGAGTTTCACCTTATTTACGAGTCCATGCCATTGGCATTTATTATTACTTTTACAAAATTTAAATAAAAGATATTAACCAAACAATATCTTGCCTAATTTGTTTCAAAAAATCTCTACACAATCTTTTCATATATCTTCAAAAAAATTTTATAGCAAATATTTATATTAATATTTTGCATAGCAAATAAAATACTAATTTATAATAATCAAAATATTCACATTAAAAAATCATATACACATACAGGAAAAAAAACTATATCTATCATCATTTAATCCATTGCTTTATTTAAATTTAAAAAAAAAACACAAAAACTTGAAATCATATACTTTATATGATAAATTTAAAATATATATTAGTAGTATAAATTTAAAATCGTTCAAATAACGGTATACCACAGGTGAGATCCTAAAATTATTAGATTTTATAACAATAATAATTTATTTTCTTGGATTTTATAACACTAATAATTTAGCTAACGAGATAATATAGACGGGTTTATATGCGATGACGGGTTTGGGTCGATATTAATAAATAACGGTATATCACGGATGAAATCCTAAAATTAACAATCAAAATACAATTATACAATCTTAAACACAAAACAAAAGAAACAATATTAACAAAAAAAATCCAACTTAAATTTAAAATTTTTAGTTATAAAAAAACCGATCCACAGTATACTGCAGAGTAAAATATTCAAAATTTTAAAATCTACCATACATCGTTACTTAAAAAAAAAATATGTTTTCATATCTATACTTCAAAAATTGATAGATAGATATCTACATTTAAAAATACAAATTAATATGATATATCTTCAGTTAATCTTTAAAAAAATAACATTACATTTTTTAAAAAAATATATTAAATTCTAGTATGAATAATCCAATTAAATACTATTTGGAAAGAAAAAAGAATAATCTCATAAAAAAAAAAGAGCATTTACTTAGGCGCACAATAGCAACACGCCTTTGAGATTTGTTTGGGGTTTTAGATTTATCGCTGTCTTGGACGAGAAGACTGAAACCAATTGCAACAAAAAGAAGAAAAAAGCTCTCTTCTTTGTTCATCATCGATCGATTCTTCTGCAAAAAAAAAGTACGTCTTTTTCACTTCCTTCTCTGCACTAAACCCTAAATTTTCTTGCTTTTTGTTTTCTGGGTCGTCTCTCACTGCGATTCTTAACATCTGGCTTCAATTGATACTCTATCGAACTCTTGCAAATGTATAAATTTTGAGACTTTTCTGGAGATTTTGAGTTGGGATTGTTATCATGTTCTTACGGATTTGAGTTTCAATCTCTGGTTCGGTAGATTGTAAAAAGCTTGATTTTGAATATCAGTATGATTCATTGATTGGATTGGAACTGAGAAGGAATCAATCAACGTTTTACCATAAGATCTGTCCCAAATTTGTGTTCTTGCATCTACTCAAAGGATTTTGAAGTCTCTTAGGTTACTTTTAAGTAGTTCTTTGCATAAGATCTGTGATTTGATGATTGCTATCTTGTTGCATTGCTTGCGGAATATAAGATGAGTCGATCTTCATATATGTCCATGAACCAACAGAAGTTTGCGTTTGATTTAGGTTTTGCAGCAACTAGTCCTGTTTTGGTGTCTTTCTAATCTCACTCACAGGATCTCTTTATGTGGAATATAAGATATTTGATCCTACGACTGTTCGTGCTTTCATGTTGGGTTTATAATATGGATACAATTGAATTCCTGGCATTCCATTTTGATCAGAACCAAAGAACTGTTTGTGTTTGCATCACCTGATTCAGTTTAGGTGTCATTGTTATCTAATTCTCATGGTTATCTAAGAACGTTATTTTGGATATAAGTATAACCTGGATGTTTTGGAAACTAATCGTTTTTTTTTTCGTTAGATTTTCCGCAGTTTTTGTTGATTGGATTGGCCGGTTGAAACTGGAGAAGGAAAAAAAATCGATTATTTGACATAAGATCTGTACCAAAAAAAAAAAAATTCTTCCATCAGCTCAGTGGATTTTGCATTCTCTTAAGTTATTTTAAGTAATTCTTCAAGTAAGATCTGTGATTCGATGATTGTTATCTTTGTAGGTAATGTATAGACACAATGTAGGTAATGTATAGACTTATCTAGGAAAACAAATAGTTTTTGGTTAGAGTTTTGGGGTTCCACGGTTTTCTTTATATGGGGTAAAAGAAATGAAACTGGAGAAAGAAAACTATTTGTAATGAAGGTCGACTTTGTTACGAGCTCTTAAAGCTAAGTTGTCAAATATATGTTTAAGATGGTTGTAATCTTTTGTTGCATTGCTTGTGGAATGTAACATGAGTCGATGTTCTTATATGTCCACAAACCAACAGAAGTTTGCTTTTGATTTAGTTTCTTGCATCAATTATTCTTGTTTAGCTGTCTTTCTAATCTCAGCCACAAGAGTGTGCAATTTCTTATTTTTAATATAAGATTTTTGATCCTACGATGACTGGTCTATTTTGGTCTTTCATGTTGGGTTTGTTAGTAGATAATGGATACAATTGAATTGTTGACATTACATTTGATCAGAACCAAAGAACTGTCTGTGTTTGCATCACCTGATTTGATTTAGGTGAAATTGTTATCTAAGTGCTTGCATCCTTCTTCAGATGTGTGTGCCTCGTGCTAGCTAAGCTAACTGCATCTTTAATATGGTCTTGGTACAGGTTTGTGAGATTTCGATAAAAGCTAAGAAATGGAAGATGTACTTACCGAGAATCCTCCACCTTCAAGATTCTTCCAAGAAGATCTTAACAACTTTGTTCCGCCACCTGAATCCCTTCCATCTCCTTTCATCATATTCTCAAATCCGAAACCCGAACTTCCTCTCCGACCATCTCTGCTCATCATAGCCATATCTTCACCTTCCCTCTATATTTTCCATAATTTACCTTCAAAGACTCTCCTTGGAAGTCTCATCATGCCTGAAGTCCCGTTTTCTGGAAACACCATGGAACCTTCGTTAGAAGACAAATCCTGCAACATATATTCCTTGAGTAGTACTGATGACAAAAATTCGATCCTCCTCGTCTCTGTTCAGCTTCCTGTATCTCCTGAACGGTCTAACCTAGTCTCAAGATTGCTCATTGGCCAAGACATTATCCCCGAGCGGGTTATAATCTTGGATTCCATTCAGAGCCGTAACTTCAGAGGTAGACTCTCACCAGACGAAACATTGGCAGCCAAACTCGAGACATCTGCTGAGAAGAAAGCAACAACTCACACCGGTTTAGTGAATCTGGATTACTTCCCATCAGGGAGTGTAATCGACGGTCTGAGTGCTTCACTTTTGAGCCGGTGCCAGCTAAAGAACATAAGAGGAACATTGGTGATCTCATGGCCTGAGTTTGGTCCTTCCGTGATAAGATTTGTCGGAGCTCTGCTGAAGAAAATTGTCCCGAGTTTGAATGTTGCTAGTGTGAACAAAGATCTGGAGAAGAATTCTTCAAGAACTGGTCTTAAAAAGGATACTTGGCTTGACTCTGATCTATATACATGATTCAGAGACTGTCATAGAAGCTTCTCGAAAAGTTGTTTCATGTTTCTATGCTTAATTGGACAAAACAGAGACCTTGCTTGTGTTCTCATTGCAAAAACAGTTTTGTTTCATGTCTACTCTGTTTCTTAGGTGTGTGTGAGGACTTGTGATTTTTCAAATTTTAGTCTCATCTTTTCTTGGGGATCAATTTGATTACACACAAATTATTGGGCTAGCAACATAAACAAGGCCCGGACGACAATCTCAACAGCTTCTACAAACCCGTAACACACGTTTAAAAAGAAAAAGGAAAAAACCTACAGAAACGTGTTGTACAAGAGAAAAAAAAATTAGGGAATGGAGACACAGAGACAATAATCCTTCATCAATGGAAGAGCAGAAGAGACACGAAAGAGACAAAAGAGGAAGAGAGGCTAATGAAATACCTAACGACGATGTGTTAGAAGAAATTTTGGTGAGGCTTCCAGTGAAAACCCTAGTTAGATTCCAAATTGTATCTAAACACTGGAGGCATACGATAAAGTCTAAGTCTTTCGAGGAGAGACACATGTTGCATCAAAAAACCAAGGAACCCAAATTTCTCTGTATCTTTGTAGATGAGAGCTGGTGTAATAAGCCAAACTTTGCTCTAAAGACGATGAGGTTGGAGTGGCCTTCAACTTGTCTAGTCGGAGAAGAAGTATACCATAATAGTTATGAACACAAAGTGAATTTGGTGGTATTTTCTACAAGTTTGGATGGTCTTTTCTTAATCTATGGCGGCAAGAACTTGAATAGACCAATAATGGTGATAAACCCAGCCAATAGATGGTCTCAAACGCTCCCTCTTGCTAGGATTCAACTAGAGCATTGTTTAGACAATAACAAGACAGAGTTCTCTCCACCAGGATTTGGAAAAGATTGCGTTACTGGAATATACAAACTAGTCTTGTTACATAACATTAACAACACTTCATCATGCGAGGTTTTCGATTTCGGTGCTAAGCAATGGAGGCAGGTGGTTCCACCTCCTCCTCCTAATCATCGAATAAAGCATGAGCACGCATCAACTTTTGCAAACGGATGGCTTTATTGGTTCAGCCAAGATAAGACCATGTTGGTTGCCTTTGATCTTCACATGGAGATATTTAGAGTAGTTCCAAATCCAATTATCCAGGCTTCATCATCATCATCATCTGTTGAGATGAGTATGAGAAGCGTAGATGATGACCGTTGTCTTGTGTGGATTTCAGAGATAAATGGAGATGGTATGCAACACGTTTGGAGGCTCACTAACCACAACACAGGAGGGGCATTATTGAAAATGGGCAAGATGTTTTCCTTTGACTTGAACAAGGTTACTTCCACTTGGTTTGATGATACTAATGATCCTTCTTCACTCCTCAGACTTGAGGCAATTTCCAAGAATGGTGGTAACAAGGTAATGCTCTCAAAACAGCCCGGTTCCGAAAATCTCCTCCTATTTCAACCCCTAAACCCTACTTCCATTCACAATCGCATCTTTTCTTGTTCTCCAGCCCGTCCCAGTGACAGTGTCATTTTTCCTTATTTCCCAAGTTTAGCCTCTCCCTTGTGCTCTTAAAGCTATTTTTTTTTTTAATTTAATGTTAAATTATACTCAAAAGAAAAAATAAACGTTTGTTACAATATGATTGCAAAACATTTCATAAAAATCAAGTAAAGAATGATCTATCCTTGATTTCTTCTTGTTCCAAACCAAAATACGATGCCACCGTCGTACTTCGATATGCCTCCACTCTTAAGCGTGCTGAATCGGTTTCGTATATTTTTGTCGATCATATTGACAATCTTTCCCACTGGTGATGGTTGCTCTCCATGTCTCCTGTTATTCCTTTCCCGCCATATGGAATGAATTGTGTTTTGAAACACATAGCGTATGGTAAAAGCTTTGATCTGGTCATGAGCTGTTCATTTTTATCCCCATGTCGATAAAACCTCTTTCCCCAAGCTTCTCATATAGACATCCCAGAGGGCTCCACACGTCGAACCAGAAGGAAGTGGACCACCCATTTTTAACCTCTACTCGGTGAAACTGTTTTGCATTTGCTCGGTACTTCAGTATTTTATGCCAAATCCATGAACCACGAGATGTACTTTCTTTAACAGACCAAAAAGAGTCACCACGTATAAGGTATTGTTTCACCCAATCCACCCATAAAGAACCTTTAGCCGACATTATTCGCCAGATTAGCTTCAGCATGCTTACTCGATTAGCCTCTTCTATAGATCTCAGTCCCAATCCCCCCTCATTTTTCGGAGTGCATACTTCTGACCTTGTGCTCTTAAAGCTGCTTTTAAGTTGTCAAAATATAAGATATATGTTTAGATGATTGTCAACTTTTCTTGCATTGCCCGTTTGATTTACTTAAACTAGTCCTGTTTAGGTGTCTCTCTAATCTCACTTACACAAGTTTGAAATCTCTTCTTATTAGATGATCTTACGACTGTTATATTTTGGTGATTTCCTGTTGGGTTGTATAGTAGATAATGGATACAATTTCTTTAAACATTTTTACGGATATCAAATCTTTCAAATCGAATTGAAACGGATCTAAGGGAATCTTTTGCCCAGTCCTACTAAAATATGTCTCTATATCCCCAAAACATGTACAAGATATTATAAGATTTTTCATTTTTTTGGTTACAATTATCTTATAAAACGAATCGAACTCATTTTCTCCTAAGCCTTCATCCCAAAATAAGCCCATGTCAAAATGGCTGCCAAAATAAAAATTAAATTTGGAAATAAGAAATTATTTATAATTATTTCCTTTTTTTTAATTATTTATAACAAACGGCAAAAATAACTAGAGAAACGTTTTCAAGAGAAAGAAAATTAAAACTTAATAAAATCCATTAGGGTTTAGAAAAAAAAAAAAAAAAAAAAAAAAAAAAAAAAAAAAAACTAGAATTTCTAATTCTATTGTCTGTAGAAGAACGTGTTTATAAATAGGAAACAGAAGAGAAGATAATTGAATTCCATTCAGAGCCGTAACTTCAGAGGTAGACTCTCACCAGACGAAACATTGGCAGCTAAACTCGAGACATCTGCTGAGAAGAAAGCAACAAGTCACTTGGTGAATCTGGATTACTTCCCATCAGGGAGTGTAATCGACGGTCTGAGTGCTTCACTTTTGAGCCGGTGTCAGCTAAAGAACATAAGAGGAACATTGGTGATCTCATGGCCTGAGTTTGGTCCTTCTGTGATAAGATTTGTCGGAGCTCTGCTGAAGAAAATTGTCCCGAGTTTAGATGTTGATAGTGTGAACAAAGATCTGGAGAAGAATTCTTCAAGAACTGGTCTTAAAAAGGATACTTGGCTCGAATCTGATCTATATACATGATTCAGAGAGTCATAGAAGCTTCTCGAAAAGTTGTTTCATGTGTCTATGCTTAGTTGGACTTGGACAAAACAGAGACCATAGGTGTGCTTGTGTTGTTCTCATTGCAAAAACAGTTTTGTTTCATTTCTACTTTGTTTCTTCGGTGTGTGAGGACTTGTGATTTTTCAAATTTCAATCTCATCTTTTCTTGGGGATCAATTTGGTTACACACAAATTATTGGGCTAGCAACATAAACAAGGCCCAGACGACAATCTCAACAGCTTCTACAAACCCGTAACAAACGTTTAAAAAGAAAAAGGAAAAAAGTCAAAAACCTACAGAAACGTGTTGTACAAGAGAAAGAAAATTAGGGAAAGAAGACACAGAGACAATAATCCTTCATCGATGGAAAAGCAGAAGAGACACGAAAAAGACAAAAGAGGAAGAGAGGCTAATGAAATACCTAACGACGATGTGTTAGAAGAAATTTTGGTGAGGCTTCCAGTGAAAACCCTACTTAGATTCCAAATTGTATCTAAACACTGGAGGCATACGATAAAGTCCAAGTCTTTTAGGGAGAGATACATGTTGCATCAGAAAACCAAGGACCCCAAATTTCTCTGTATCTATGAAGATAAGAACTGGTATGAGCCAAACTTAGCTCTAATGACGATGAGGTTGGAGTGGTCTTCGACTTGTCTAGTCGAAGAAGAAGTATACCATATTAGTTATGAACACAAAGCGAATTTGGTGGTATTTTCTAAAAGTTTGGATGGTCTTTTCTTAATCTATGGCGGTAAGAACTTGAATAGACCAATAATGGTGATAAACCCAGCCAATAGATGGTCTCAAACGCTCCCTCTTGCTAGGATTCAGCTAGAGCATTGTTTAGACAATGACAAGACAGAGTTCTCTCCACCAGGATTTGGAAAAGATTGCGTCACTGGAATATACAAACTAGTCTGGTTACAAAACAATAACGACAACACCTCATCATGCGAGGTTTTCGCTTTCAATGTCAAGCAATGGAGACAGGTGGTTCCACCTCCTCCTCCTCATCATCTGATAAAGAACGACCAACCAACAACTTTTGCAAACGGATGGCTTTATTAATTGGTTCAGCCAAGATAAGACCATGTTGGTTGCCTTTGATCTTCACATGGAGATATTTAAAGTAGTTCCAAATCCAATTATCCAGGCTTCATCATCATCATCATCTGTTGAGATGAGTATGAGAAGCGTAGATGATGACCGTTGTCTTGTGTGGATTTCAGAGATAAATGGAGATGGTATGCAACACGTTTGGAGGCTCACTAACCACAACACAGGAGGGGCATTATTGAACATGGGCAAGATGTTTTCCTTTGACTTGAACAAGGTTACTTCCACTTGGTTTGATGATACTAATGATCCTTCTTCGCTCCTCAGACTTGAGGCAATTTCCAAGAATGGTGGTAACAAGGTAATGCTCTCAAAACAGCCCGGTTCCGAAAATCTCCTCCTATTTCAACCCCTAAACCCTACTTCCATTCACAATCGCATCTTTTCTTGTTCTCCAGCCCGTCCCAGTGACAGTGTCATTTTTCCTTATTTCCCAAGTTTAGCCTCTCCCTTGTGCTCTTAAAGCTGCTTTTTAAGTTGTCAAAATATAAGATATATGTTTAGATGATTGTCAACTTTTCTTGCATTGCCTGCCCGTTTGATTTACTTAACTAGTCCTGTTTAGGTGTCTCTCTAATCTCACTTACACAAGTTTGCAATCTCTTCTTATTAGATGATCTTACGACTGTTATATTTTGGTGATTTCCTGTTGGGTTTTATAGTAGATAATGGTTACAATTTCTTCAAACATTTTTAAGGATATCAAATCTTTCAAATCGAATTGAAACGGATTCGTTTTATGTCTCTATATGACACCAAAACTTGTACAATATACAATATTATAAATTTTCATTGCTTTGGTTACACAATCTTATAAAACGAATCGAACTCATTTTCTCCTAAAGCCTTCATCCCAAAATAAGCCTATGTCAAAATCGCTTCCAAAATAAAAATTAAATTTGGAAATAACAAATTATTTATAATTATTTCCTTTTTTAATTATTTATAACAAATGGCAAAAAAAACTAGAGAAACGTTTTCAAGAGAAATAAAATTAAAAATTAATAAAATCCATTAGGGTTTAGAAAAAAAAAAAGGCAAAAACTAGAATTTCTAATTCTACTGTCAGTAGAAGAACGTGTTTATAAATAGGAAACAGAATAGAAGATAATTGAAGACACCAAGAAGGCAATAGTAGAACAAGAAGCGAAGACATATCATGTGTTTGTTTATAAAGAGCAAGATTGTTTCATCAAGAGATGATGCATCATGGAAGAGAATTGAAAGAGAAAGCAAAAGAAGAAGACGAAGAAGACAAGAAGCAGGAGATGATTATGTATCATGGAAGAAAACTGAAAGAGAAAGCAAAAGAAGAAGCCGAAGAAGAAAAGAAGCAGGAGATGATCATGCATCATGGAAGAGAACCGAAAGAGAAAGCAAAAGAAGAAGAAGAAGAAAGATTATTGAGATACCAAACGACAATGTGTTGGAGATTATGGTTAGGCTTCCAGTGAAAACCCTAACTAGATTCCAAATCGTGTCTAAACACTGGAGGCATACGATAATGTCTAGGTATTTCAGGAACAAATACATGTTGCATCAGAAAACAAAGGAACCCAAATTTCTCTGTCTCTATGAAGGTAGAAACACGCCAAACATTACTTACAAGACCATGAGGTTGGAGTGGTCTTTGACTCTTCTAGTCGAAGAAGAAGAATATTTAACTAGCAATAAACACAAAGAGAAGATGATGCTATTTTCCAAGAGTGTGGATGGTCTTTTCTGTTTATATTGTGGTGTGGACATTAAAAAACCAATTATAGTGATAAATCCAGAGACAAGATGGTATAAGAAGCTCCCTCTTGCTAGGATTCAGCGAAAGAATTGTTTAGACAACAACAAGGTAGAGTTCTCTCGCCTTGGATTTGGTAAAGACAACGTCACAGGAACATAAAAACTAGTCTGGTTACGTACCAAAACAAAGAAGAAAATAAAAGAGGAATCTTCATGGACATGCGAGGTTTTGGATTTCGGTGCTAAGAATTGGAGGCGGGTGATTCCACCTCCTCCTAATCATGGAATAAAGCACGAGCATGCACCAACTTTTGCAAACGGATGGCTTTATTGGCTCAGCCAAGAAAAGACTAAGTTGGTTGCTTTTGATCTTCACATGGAAATGTTTCGGATAGTTCCAAATCCGGTTATTGAGGTATCATCATTATCATCATCTGTTGATATGTTTATGGAAAGTGTAGATGATGAAAGTGGTCTTGTGTTGATTTCAGAGACATATGGAGATGGTATGCAACATGTTTGGAGGCTCACTAACCACAACACACGAGGGACATTATCGATAATGGACAAGATGTTCTCCTTTGACTTGAACAAGATTACTTCCACTTGGTTTGATTCTCATTATTCATCACTCCTCAAACTTGTGGCATTTTCCAAAAAGACCGGTGACATGATGCTCTCAAGACCCCGCAGTTCCAAAACTCTCCACCTATCTGAACCCCTAAACCCTACTTCCATTCACAATTGCATCTTTCCTTATTCTTCTCCTCGTCGCATTGACAGTGCTCTTCTTCCTTATTTCCCAAGTTTTGTCTCTCCCATGCACTACAAGAAATTTGTTCATTGATAGCATAACGTAATAGCACGGATTACTCAACTGCTATTGAAGATTATTTACAAATTTTGTTTTCGTATGATAGCGTTTTATAAATGCTAATAAATAAATTTAATAATATAGCAAGGTTTTAACGCTATGATAGAATTCCTCTAGCCCGGGAAACTAAAATGACTCATACCGCGAAACACTTAAAGAATATTTTTTCTTTTTGCGAACAGACTAATTTTTTCCCTCTTTACTCGAGAAAACCCTAAGGCTTAACCACACTCTCTCAAACCGACGAATCGATTCCTGGAGCCACCGATTGAACTCGCCACCGCCGTCAAAGCTGTAGCCGCGACAGAAAACCTGATTTCGGCCCTAATTCTCCGATTAAACCATCTCTCTGAGTCCCAAATCGAAGGCATGTCTCTCTGAATCTGTAGATCTATTTCTTCCCTTTCGTTAACCTAGCTAGATTTCTTTTAGCTGTCGTGAAGCTCGACAACTGTTTTGTTTCTTAAAGTCTGGATTTAAGGGTTTCTCTGATTCGATTCTTCAAAGTTTTTGTCTTTTGCATGTCCGTGTTCTTTGCTTAATTAGAACTATTTGTTTGTGTGGTTTGATTTAGGCGTAGCTTGATAAATAGGATGCACAATTTTGCTTTCGGAAATCTTAGATTTTTAGATAACTTGTATTGACCTATTCTCGAGATTTAGAAGTTTTTGTTGACATTCTATTACAACTATTTGTATTGACTTGTTCTTATTGTCGGATACAATTGGTTGGTCTTGTAAGTTCTGACTTTTTGTATTGATCTGTTATCTGAATCTTTAGATCTTTTAAGTTCTTTTCTAACACATTCTTGCATTACCAAACACATGAAACTAGATATACTCATTCTCTCATTTTGTTTTGCAAGTGTTGCTGTTTGAAGTAATGGGAATCTGAAGGTTATCTTTGGCTCTTATTACACGACAGGTTAGACCATCTTTTCCTTTGTCTTGTACATTACTGTGTTTGCTATGTGATTGGTAATAGATATTTTACTTTGATTAATCGTTTTAAATATGGTTATATGTGTTTGACATATGCTTTGATATGGTCTGAGATTAGTTTATCTGCATAAAATTTGTGTTTGATTTATTCATTAGTCTGAATATTAAGTGATCCTGTGATGTGTGAAGACTCTTTCATTAAATCTGAATAAGTTTTTATATCACATATGCTTTGATCTTGTCTGAGATTGAGTTATATATATTGTTTACATTGAGTTAAAATTTGAGTTTGCTTAATTTGTTAATTAGTCTGAAAAGTAAGTGGTTCTGTGATGTGTTTAGACTATTTCATTAAATCTGACTTAGTTCTTTTATCACATATGCTTTGATCTGATTTGAGTTTGATTTAGTTAAAATCTGAGTTTGATTTATTTGTTAATTAGTCTGAATATTACTGTGTGATGTGTGTAGACTCTTTAATTAAATCTGAATAAGTTCCTATATCAATAAAGGTTTTAATTACGGTTGCATTATAAAATGGTGGACAAGGGTTGGGTGCACCTTTGCAGGTAAGATTTTTTTTATATATTAGATTAGGGAATTTGGAGACTTTGCTTGTTTTTTTTTCTTCTTTTTTCTCTTTTAACTCTTCATCTTATATGAAGAGTTGATCCTGCTTATGAGAGAGGGGCTGCAAACTTTGTACGGACTGTGGCTGCGGCAATGGGAGACGTTGATATGATTGTATGTCCTTGCATTGATTGTCGTAATATAGATCGTCACTCAGCCAGTGTTGTAGTTGATCATCTTGTAACAAGGGGAATGGACGAGCCTTACAAGATGCGGTCTGATTGGTATCATCATGGAGAATTGAATCCAGTGGTTGGAGGTGAAAGCAATCAAAATCAGTGGCATGATGAAATTGTTGGGTTATATGAAGCAGCTGAATATTTGGATGAAGAGTTTGCTTCCAAAGTTGAGATTGCAGAGGGTTTGGACAAGGAAGAAGATGAGTTCCTTGCGAAGCTTGCAGATGCTGAAACACCACTATATCCAAGTTGTCTCAACCATAGCAAGCTGTCGGCTATTGTAACACTTTTCAGACTTAAGACAAAGAATGGCTGGTCTGACAAGAGCTTCAATGAACTCCTAGAGACACTTCCGGAGATGTTACCAGCGGGTAATGTGCTGCACACATCACTATACGAGGTGAAGAAATTTTTGAAATCCTTTGATATGGGTTACGAGAAGATCCATGCATGTGTTAATGACTGCTGCCTATTCAGAAAGAATTACAAGAAGCTCGACAGTTGTCCTAAATGCAGCGCTTCAAGATGGAAGACTAACTTGCACACTGGTGAAATAAAGAAAGGTGTCCCACAGAAAGTATTAAGGTACTTTCCGATAATCCCACGCCTTAAGAGAATGTTTAGGTCTGAGGAAATGGCTAAGGATTTAAGGTGGCATTTTAGCAACAAAAGCAGCGATGGAAAACTCCGTCATCCTGTAGATTCAGTAACATGGGATCAGATGAATGCCAAATACCCGTCATTTGCAGCTGAGGAAAGAAACCTGAGGCTTGGACTTTCAACAGATGGATTTAATCCATTCAACATGAAGAACACTAGATATAGTTGCTGGCCCGTTTTGTTGGTTAACTACAATCTGCCTCCTGATTTATGCATGAAGAAGGAGAACATCATGTTGACTTTGCTAATTCCTGGTCCACAACAGCCTGGTAATAACATTGACGTATACCTAGAACCACTTATAGAGGATCTATGCCACCTGTGGGACAATGGGGAGTTGACATATGACGCTTTCAGTAAATCAACATTTACTCTTAAGGCAATGTTGCTTCCTCTCGGACCAGCAGCAGTGAAGATATTTGTCGATGTAGTTCTTCAACCAGAGACATTTATATGGAGGCCAACGATGGATGTGACATACTTTGAGGACTGTTTAAAGTCTTATGTAGCATGGCCTGTCCACAAAGTGATCTTTGAAAACCCTACAGATGCAACATGTCAGAAATCTCCACTTCAGACTTCTGCTGCAAGAGGAAAATCACCATTGGAAGCAGCAGCATCAGTAGGAAAATCAGCAGCATCAGAGAAAGCAGCAGCATCAGGGAAAGCAGCAGCATCAGGGAAAGCAGCAGCATCAGGTTCACAAATTGCAGCAGCATCAGGTTCACAAACTGCAGCAGCAGGTTATAAGCCATCCCCTGAGATATCTACAACAAAAGGTACAAAATCCGTTGCAACAGTTTCAAAAGCTCTAGCTGAGAAGTCCACAGCTACAGGTTCAAAGTCTCCTGTCAAGAAAAGTCAGCTGCTGGATTCACAACTCCCTCTAAGAAGATCTCCGGTATTTTGTTTGTTGTTTTTACCTATTGAATCTGGTTATTTTTCTACATGCATTAAACCTGGTTTATATTGTAACATTGCAGCGTAAAAGTGTAGCTGAAGTTATCAAGGCCAATCAGAAGTGTAAGTTAATGGATATTAGTGGAAAGAAGCAGGTGGTTGCTGAAGGACGTGTGCATTCAATCGACCCAGACCTAAAGGTACACCATGTTCGATTGGGGTCTAATGCAGCTAGAGTTTGGGTGGATGTAGTGAAAATAGATGATGCAGCAGTTTGGAGGCCATCAGATGAAATCGAATATATGAGAGATTCACTTGGTTCAGCTATTGCATGGCCAATGGATAAGTTGGTCATCTATTGAGTTTAAGAATAAACTGGGGTAAGTTTCGTGATTACTGTGATCCTTGTACTTTCGTTTTATATCTGAAACTGAAATGAGACATTGTTGATTATTGCAGGGAATGAAGACACTTTGGTCCAGGTTAGCTAGTTTAAATTAGATTTAGACTAGACTAATCAACTTGTGTTATGTAATTCGGAATCAGACTTGTTGTCTACTTTGGATTTAGACTTATGTTATGTTGAATGATTTGTATGGATTTTTTCTCTATGTTGGATTGGATTCAGACTTAAATGAAATTTCTATTCAGACTTTTTTTTTTGTCTATGTTGGGTTCTGGGAATGCATATAATAGCAAAAAAAAACAAGTTGTGAAAGATTGTATTACAGCATAATTAAACCGCTTAATTAAACAAACCTTAGCAAATATTCACTGTCATTGTAGACGAATCATATATCATAGCATAAAACGTAATGCTACTAAAATATATTTCTCAGCATGAACTAATTGCTAACATTGAATCACCTATTATGACACGAAATTACAATCATCGTTACTTTTTTAACAAAAAATTAAAGTGCTATATTAAAATTTTACACAGCGTTTAAAGTTTGCTGTTATATCATTAACTATAATAGCGTTTCATACAATGCTATCGTATGAGTGACACCTACTATAGCTGCCGAGAACATAGCGTTTGTGAATTCGCTATCTATAACGTAAGATAGCATATTTTTAGCGCTAACAATGAACAAATTTCTTGTAGTGATGTGAATGAACTTTAAGTTCTTAAAGAGGAGAAAAGAAAACTATTTGTGATGAAAGCCCGCTTAGCTTCTTTACGTGCTCTTAAAGCTACTTTAAGTTTGTCAAAAATATGAGATATTTGTTTGATTTTAGTTTTTGCATCAACTAGTCTTATTTAGGTGTCTCCCTAATCTCACTCACAAGAGTTTGCAGTCTCTAACGACCATTCTATTTTGGTGCTTTCCGGTTGCGTTTTGTAGTAGATAATGGACACAATTGAATTGTTGACATTATATTTGATCATAACCAAAAACTTTGTGTTGCATCACCTAATTCGGTTTATATGCTTTGTTAACCAACTCTCATGGTTGGTGTGATGCTCTCTTGCACCACAAGAAGCTCTCAAGTCTCATCTTTCTTGAAGAAACAGAGGAATCTCTCTTTCTTAATTATTTAAGGATCGAATAAAAGTGGATCTAATGGATCAATTGTCCGGCAATTAGAAAATATGTCTTTCTCACACCAAAATCTGTACAAGATTGTAGCATACAACAAAATACACAAGTTTAATTTATATATGTTTTTTACAAACCGAAATCGATATAAATATTTTCTCTTGTCATCTTGGACCTGATAACTCCATAGCTTGAACCAGCACCGAGGAATCATCTGTAAGATCCGAATAACGTTCAGAGGAAGAAAACTCATTAGGTTTACTGTAACTTCTATTGGTTTCTGCTCTCTGAGAAGAAGCTTCCCATTTCTCAACGAGACCATCGCCTTCAAGCATTCTCACAACTTCTGACATCTTAGGACGGTGAATCGGAAGATACTGTGTACAAAGCAAAGCCACTTGAACCATTTCTTCCACTTCTATTCGGTCGTAGTTGCTCTTCAAATCCTTGTCTACTATCTGTTCTAGCTTCTTCTCTTGTTGTAGTTTCTTCACCTACAAGTAACCCCAAAAGAAAAACCCTAGAAGTGAGTATCTTGACCTAACTGAAACAAAAAGATAAGTTTTTGCTCTTTTACTTCTTACCCAATCAAGAATCGCTCCTCTTTGGTTTGCTGCTTTTCCAAATTCAAGAGCTCTCAATCCAGTAATCAATTCTAGAAGAAGAATCCCAAAACCGAACACATCTGTCTTCTCCGAAGATTGTCCTGTTGAGAGATACTCAGGTGCAATGTGACCCACTGTTCCTCTCACAGCAGTTGTCACATGCGACTCCTCATGATCCAGAAGCTTAGCCAACCCGAAATCTCCGACAACCGCTTCGCAGTAATCATCGAGAAGTATGTTTGCAGCTTTGACGTCACGGTGAATGATCTTCGGATCACATTGCTCGTGCAAATACAGTAACCCTCTTCCTGCTCCTAATGCTATTCGCTTTCTTGTGCCCCAATCCAATACAGGTTTAGCTGCAAGACCACTCACATGAATCGTAAACCATGTCAATGCATGTAAAGAAATCAAAATTAGAGGTGTTTAAGTACCTTTGAGACGAGAAGCGACACTGCCATTGGACATGTAAGGATAAACAAGAAGCCGTTCAGAGGAAGTAGTGCAGAAGCCGTAGAGGCGGAGGAGATTGCGGTGGACGGCAAGGCTTATCATTTCAAGCTCCGTTTGAAACTGAATCTCTCCACCGCCATTGTTTATATCCTTTAATCTCTTTACCGCGATGATACTTCCATCATGAAGACAACCTTTATACACATTTCCAAACCCTCCTTTTCCTACCAGATTCTTGCTGCTGAAGTTACTCGTTGCGGATTGAAGTTCTTTGAAACTAAACCTCCTTAGATTCCCTAGACATATTTCTTCCTTGTTTTGCTCTGTATAAGATCCAAATTCACAAACACATTGGTCTAGTTTCACATTCAACAGATTAACAAAAGGATTCAATTTTTCATTGTGGGTTTTACCATTAATGTCAAAGAATAATACTTGTTTGTTGTGTCTTCTTCTCCACCAAAGAAGAAAACCAAAGCCAATGATCAACAAGCAAACACAAGTAAGGCTTACACCGAAGACTACCGCAATTTTCCGGTTTTTGGTTCCTCCATCAGATGATTTATCTAACAACAACAAGAACCAAAAACAATTTTATACATTTTTTAGGATTCAAATATTACATCTTTATTTTTTTCCTACTTTAAAGGATTGAAATTTTAGATTTTACTTACTTTGAGAACTGTTCAAAGTGATTGATATTGGCTTAGGCTGAGTCCCATTACAGTCTTTCTCTGTGCCTGTTGGACAAATCTGAGGATTGCCCATAACACTGCATAACAAGTAAAAAAATGTTAAATAAAAACTATATAATATAATTAGGGTAACGTATAAAAGTGGACAAGTTACAGAGAAAACACAATGGAATTTTCAATTACCCTGTTTCTTTCTCAAAACAGAGTAAAAACAGAGCAGACAAACATTCTTTTTCAGAAATAGACTTACTTAAATGTTTTGGCAAGTGATCTTGGAACTGGTCCACTCAAGTTATTATACGACAAATCCCTGAAAAATAATTTCAATATTTATAAAACATATATATAAAATAATAAATATATATTTATATTTATATATGTAGAAATTTATAAGAAAATATAAGAAAGAGGATGTACAAAAAAGTGAGTTGGGTCATGTTTGCCAATGAGCTAGGAATTGTTCCTGTCAGGCTGTTATTATTAACCCTCCTGCTCCACAATTTTCAACACAAAAATAATCTTTCCATATATAATTATATAAAAAATATGATAAATTAGTATAAAAGAAAATATTTGAATAAATGGATAAAATCTTACAAGTATTGAAGATTTGTGGAATGAGAAAGAGTGAATGGGATTTGACCAGTGAAGTTATTGGTAGAGAGATCAATTGTTTTGAGTTTCATCAATTTCCCAATTTCATGAGGGATATGTCCTGTTATGTAATTGTTCTGCAATAGCCTGTATCCATACAAAATTATTAGAAAACTAAAGTGATTAAGAGATAAAGAAACAATGTTTTAATGATTACTATAAAACACTTACACAGTCTGAAGATTTGTTAAATTTCCAATACTTGATGAAAGAGTTCCTGACAAGCTCTGGCTTGGAGCTCCTCTAAATACACACAAAAGTAAAAACTGTCAACACATGATTACATATGTATGTGAGTGTTTGTGTGTGTGTGTGAGTGCTTACAGGCTTAAGACAAAACCATCAGGAGAACAAGTGATCATGTTCCAGCTACATGGATCAACTGCTGTGTCATCCCAATTCTTTAGAACTCCATGAGGATCAACCAGAGAGCTTTTGATACCTATTAAGGCAAGAACTAAAGAGGAAACAAAAAAAATGTTTTAGTAAGAAAAAAAAAAGATAAACTGAGAAAGAATGAAGTTTTTGTTGATGAATATTACCTTCAAAGTTAACACCTTTGTCTGTGAGTTCTGCAGAAGAAGGAGATAGGAAACAGATATAGAAGAAGAAGAAGGTTGAAGAGAACAAAACATAACTCTTTTTTGCTTCTCTTCTTCCTTGCATCATCTTTGTCTGAATCAAAACTTGTTTGTTTTGCATTTAAACCTTGTGGAATCTCTAAGGTGCAGAGTTTGAGGTTTTTTTTCCTTTTGTATGAGAAATATTCTTTTTTTCAATTCTTTGTTTGGAGGTTATTAGGAAAAAGATGGAACAGAGGATTTTGATTTGGAAGTGTTTGTGACTGATAGTGAAAGAGAGATAGAGAGAAAGGGAAAGATTTGTCTGCCAATTATTATCTTATGGTCCTTTAAACTGGAAAAGGCCAGAGAGAAAATCGGGTAATGTTTTCCTTCTTCTATTTATTTAGTTTTTAATCATGTGAGAAAAAAACATAATTCTATAAGATTTTATGTTTTTATTGATTAGTCAATAAACTTATCTATGAAAAATTTTAATTTGATTTATAAATTCTCTACAAATATGAGAATAAATCACATATTTAACAATACAGAAACATACAAATTATTTAGAAAAGTCTATATTGTAGTAGTGCTTAAAAATACAAAACTGCTCTACTATTGTCATGCATGGAAATATGATGAAATATTACATATGTACAAACTTTTTCTTTTTTTTCTTTAAAAGATCATCCCATTGGCCAATTTTAACTATGTATTTTTCTTTTCAGAAACAAATTATAGACAAACAACTATTTTAGTAAAAACTTAAGATGAAATATTGAAAATGAATATTTACGTTTTTGTGAAATGTTGGATGCTGCATACTACTACTGGACATAGACAATGGTATGAACCAGTGGACTTACCAGTCTTGATCGTTACAATAGGATGATTCTAACAAATCGAATATGTACCAAAAACTAAAAAATCAATTTATATGTTACTTACTCTTTAGACTTTTTGAAGTAATGTAGCTGGATCCGAAGCCCTGGTTCTGTTCTACGGTCTAGAGGATTAATAGACTAAACCTGTTCTTGGATCTAGGACGGCAACAAACGATACAATGAATACTTTGGGATAGAAAACAAAAATTATATTCGTAAAAATAATCAATTAGATAAGCCTTTATCTAAAACAATATATATAAGAATCAATTAGAGCAGGTGAAAAGTGAATTCATATGGTAAGCACCATTAATCTGTTATTATTTAATCTAATAAAATATATATTTTCCAGGAAGAATAATTATTAAGTAGCCTAGAACAAATAAAAGTGTGAAATTATTTTGAAGTAACGCAAAGTTAAATAACCTGTGAATTATACTAGTGGGACACTTGTTGGGGCGATTAGAGATACTGTGAGTCTGTGACTTAAAACTTTTCTTTTTCTTTTTAATGACTCGCTTTAACTCTGTTTTTATTCCCACTCAACACGGTTAATATTTGTTTATATCTTCGTAATTATTCACTAATTGTATTAAGATTTCTTTTTTGTTTCTCCCTTAAGTATTCTCCTAATTCATTCTAAAGTATATTTTGTCAACTCTTTTTATAATTTGAAATAAAAATATCTTGTATCTATGTTGTTTGTTGATAACATACCATGTGCTTTCGCCAAATGGATGGTTTTTTTTTTTTCGTTACGTCAAATGGATATTTTAAGCGGTGGAATATTAGATGATAGTATGATACTTTAGAGGGTAAAATTAAGAAATTAATAAGACGGAAAACATATGATCGAAATGAAGTTAAAATGAGAACACTACAAAATTCGAGATTCCAAAAGAAGTATCAATGATGGACAGCTTAAAAATTGGTTTAAAATAAAAGAGAAATATTAGTGAAAACTAAACTTTGAAAAAAAACTTACCTCATGTAATACATAATAGTTATAGTTAACTAACAAGATATGAAAATGTGATTAAGAAATTACTAATGATGCGACTTAATATTATAAAATAGTGATTTTCCCCCATTTTGTCTTTCATTAATTGTTATTTTCCCCGTTATTCATTATTAATTTTTTTGAAATACTTTAATAGTTATATCTAATGCCATAATATATAAATATATTTACTTTAGAAAATAATATTTTATTTTGAAACTGAAAGAAAAAAAATATAAAACTTCTTTAGTTACTAGATTACTATGGTTTCTTTCAGATAATGTAACACTCCAATGGGATGTGTACGTATATGATTATTTTACATGAGTCTAGTACATACTTTATTACTGCACAATGAACACTTGAAGTCGAAGTTGGTCCAGAAAAAAAAATTAAAAAAGTAAAAATGATTGATTAAGAAATTATTGGGGCGAGCAACTAATCCAAGTCCAACAACGATTAATTAATTAGATTCTTTTAAAAATAAATTATTTAGAAACACAAAAATCAAATCTTTGTCTACACAGTGATTAGTCAACAGACAAGCCACTTTTGAAACCACAAAAGCAAACTGCTTTATAAAGCAAAAGCTGTTCTCCTCTATCTTTCATCATTACTTTAATTTCTTAGTGCATTTCACTGATTTCATATACAATATATTTTGGGTTATTTCGGGATAATGTTTGCAAAAAAAAACTGAAAAGATGAATATGTAATATGTCATGATTTTTATGTCGTGTGCATGGATACACGTGTGATACTTTTCTCTTTGTTTTAACATTACAAAACGCTCATTTCTTCTTCATCATCATCAATTTCTTTGACCATGTCTCATGAACTTGCAACCGCATCGTAACTTTTGGGTGTGAGAAATCAATCTTGTACTTGATATTAGTTTGAGTTTTGTTTTGGTATCTCTGACAGTTGAAAATCAATAGAGATTGATTGATATTAGCCATGATTGGTTGATTATTTTGTTGTAGTTATCTGGTCTTTCCAAATGTTAGTTTGTGGTGAACACTTCCATCATAAGAGTTTGTGGTGAACACTTCCATCATAAGAGTTTGTTGCAAATTTGTTTATATATTTGCTCAGTCGAAACGGTGTCATACTTTAGGTCCATTAGAAAATTTGGTGAGTCACCATGAAAAATTAGTTGGGTGTTAAAAATCCAGATCAACCCTTCGTTATAAAAAAAAACGAAACAAAAACAAACAGGCCGATATATAATAATTTTCAAACATTAACTATTTTTTCAAGACTTAGAATAAACAAAACTATTTATCTATCGAATAAACTATATTTAGTCCATGAAATAAATGTTCGATTTTAGGTTAAGCCGTTTGATGCTTTTTATCTTTCTTAATCTTTTTTTTTTCTTTTTTTTTTTTTAATCTCTCTATCTTGATATAGTTTATTACACACATGAAATGGACTTACATGCATCAAATATATGCATAGAATGATAACAACGGAAAAAAATCTACATTAAATAGCTTGCGGAACATATATAGCCACTTATAAAAAAACTATCAATAAATAAAGTTTTTTCTTACATGAAAATGGTTAATAGAATATAAATTATGATAGTGATTGTGTCATGTCATCTTATGTGTGACCTAATTTTCTCTCCAATTTAGATGAAGTCTTAATGGTTTGTTTCATCTTAGCATAATCAAAAGGGGAAGATAACATTCGCGCGCGTATGAAAAAAAGAAAAAAAATAAAAAAAGACAAGAAGAGAGTAATCAATAATCGACATCTCTACCCACTACTTAAAGTTATAAACCCGCAAATGAGTGGGAAATAATTATACTATTTTCTATAAATTTTGTAATCTTGTTTTCTATAACTTTTTTTTTTGGTAAGATCTTGTTTTCTATAACTTAGAACCAGTACTGTTTTGTTTTTGAAAAATAAACCATAATATTTATCTCAAGATTTGATACATGACATTGTAAAAGACGTTGAGGTGTTGTTGCAATTGTAATCTAGTTCTTGGATATGTCTGGCTTTTAATTATATAAATGTAACAAACTAAAAAAAAAACTCAATTACCTTACAAATATAAACGATTGATTTTTTCGTACGTTCATTGAGAGTGATGTAAAAAGTAAAACCCCACCTCTTGTCTTTTCAATCATATATGTTCTTCACTTGTTATTCATTTCATTACCCTCACTTTTTTTGTTACCCTACCCTTATGTGCATAATGCATAAGCATAATGATATAATCCATGAACCGGAGCATGTAGCTGTTGGGATTCACTGGTCTGAGCTTGCATTACCGAAGCAAGATCTAGCTTCCTCGAGTATTAGCGTTCACTTCCCAAAAAGACTCATTATAGATCATATGAGATATTCTCTAGCAATAAAAAGAAGTATTACACATTTTCTCAAGTGAAAAATAAGCCGCTAATCGGTAACATGAAGCTAGAAGACCAAAACTTGAATGAACTAAGCACCACCGCATTGGTAAGTTAAAGTCGTCAGGTATGATATGTAAGGAGAACTCTTAAATATCTTATTAGCAGAAACCATTGAGAGACCAAACCAAGAATTTTTAATGTCGATCCTAGCCTATACAGTTGAGTGAGTACTAATCCTACACATTGTAGCTGGATTTGTTAGAGTTTTGGTATATGCTTAAGCAATAAGTGTCGTCCAAGTTATGAAACATGTATCTTTTTTTTCATGGGTCTCCTTCTATTATTCTAGTTTTGGTTCCATATTGCCTCAATTGTGACCACAAGAGAAGAAGAAAAAAAAAACAAATTAAATAAAGAAAAGGTAGAATAAGTTCTTCTCTAAAAGTTGGATGCACAAAATCAATCAGGACAACTCACACACCTTAATTTATTTTTTCTTGATTTTCTTTACATAGTGCCTATATGATGGCTACATACTTTAGACTATTAATAGTGCTTGTTTAATATTCCTATTATTGTTACTAGACTCAACTTGGTTTAAATATATGGTTACTGTTTAGTATAACTAATACTTATTAAATAAATTTTCAAATTATAAGCATAATGTAAAGTGCAATTAACGTAATTAAAAATTAATGGTAAAATTTGCTAAAATAAATAACAAAAAAAAAATTACGTCCAGGAATGTTGATGAAACATTGAAATTCACTTGATATAAATGTAGAAACATGATAAATGGAGAAACAAAAGACAAAGTTTGTTTCACATCAAAATTAAAACAGAACAAACCAAATTACATTTTATTATTTTCGACATTAAAGTTGGCCCCCCTAAAGATCCTTCAGGTTAATATATAAATGAAACTGGTACATGCATCAAATATTTTCAGCGTCATGTCATTGATAAAATAAAAGCCTTGTTCTAAAAATCGGCCGCCTAGGCGCTGATCGGGTGGGGACCGCGGCGATTTTGTCCAAATCGGTAAAAAAAATCGGTGATCCGATTTTTGTCCGCCTAGACCGCCTAGGCGTCCGCCTAGCCCGCCTAGACGGCGCCTAGCCCAATTTTTTTTTTTTTTTACTTTTTTTTTTTTTTTTTTGGATCTAAAATTCAAAACGTCTCACTTATATTCATAATTTTTTTATAAAAATCATAAATTTGACCTTAAATTCTTGTTTTCATGTGTTTAATGCAATTTTAAAAACAAAATTATATAAATTTCTTATTTATAATGGATTAATATATTTTTAAAACATTAAATAGCCCTAAAACTAATCCCCGTGTAATCTCCGATTTTCTTGCTAGGCGCTAGGCGCACCCTCACCGCCCGACTAGCGCCTAGCGATTTTTTTAACACGGAATAAAAGTTGTGTCTGGCTAAAACCAATTCGACATTACTTTAGTATATGATTGTATTACTCATCAAAAAGGTCATTTTCTTAGACTTTGTGTATACATCATTGTCTAATACATGTTCTTTGTTTTTTTTATTAGTACGTATTGCATGTTTCTTTTTTTGACATCGTACTATTACATGTTCATTGCCTATAATTTTCGCAAATCGTTAGTTACATTTTGAATCATATGAGACCAAATATATATCTAAAGCGGGCACTACCAAACTATTGGTAATAATATCAAAATTAACATAGAAGATTAAAAATTTTATACGCACACAAGACTAAAAGATCTTCAAAGCTTAAACACAACAAAGCAGAGAACACATAAAATCTTTCTGGTGCAGTAAACAAGAGAACAGAACTATTACAAACTTCAAAAACACAAACAAGAACTGCTTTCATCAGAACATAACATGTTCTCTCTTATTCGAAAACAAAACACAAATGAACCTTAAAAAAAAGAGCATCATTCTTCTTCTTTAACCACTTCTTCCTCTTTCCAACAGAACCCAAGAGTAGATTTTGGTGAGCAACATTCAACAGATTTGACATATTTCTGGTAAACAATCGAACCTTCAAGTCCAAGCTCCTCTAGTCCTCTCTCTTGGCTCAAGTATCCCTTCACATCAACTACATAATCACACGCCAATAGCTCGGTTCCAAGATTAGCATGCACCGCTACAGAGAATTCTTTTGGTTCAAAAGAAACCAGAACACTATCCACCAACTCCTTAAAGTTCAAAGCCTTTAGATCATACCCAACTGTTTCAAAGCTTGCATAGCTAAAACCGTTTTCCGGGGTCACATGGATGGTTGAAACCGTATCTCCTTCAACTGAATTCATCGAGTAACCGCACGGTTCAAAATTAAAATCACAGATTTCAGAGGCTGGAAGGATGTTTCTGATCCCAGAGCTACTAGTCATATCAGAAGCTGAAACCGAATTGGTTTTAAAGAACACCGAAGCTTTTTTCTTGTCTAGACCAGTCATGCACATCTCCAATGTATACACAGGTTTGTCACAAGCCACATCAGATTCATAAGCAGAAGAAGCAGAGTAGACATGCCATCTCTGAGGGTTGTTATCTGACCCTCCCATCACAAAAGCTTTGCTTCCTCCATTGAGCTTACCAAAATAGCCATCAAGTAAAGCAACTTCCTCTGAGAAGCTACGGTGAGGGTAAGATTGAGCTCCCGGGAAAATAAAGCTACCACGAGTGTAGCGGACAGATTTGACAGTAAGGCAAAGTGAATCAGCTAGCCTAATGATATGCGGGATCGAAAAGAGAAGCTTCGTAGTCCCGCATGTTTTAATGATAATCTTGTAAGGATAGACAAATAGGCTCGACTCAGAGAGAACGTAAGAGTCGACCAAAGAGTTTGAGAGAGAGGAAACAATTGTGCACTCTGCTGGAGTCAAGATCTCATCTAACTGGGATTTAGTAAGTGCACGAAGACCCTTTCCTTCAGGATCAAGAAAGACACTAGTCTCAAAGAATGAGATTTCGAGCCTTTTCTCAAATCCTTCGAAACCGATAGCAGACACCGCCATTTTTCAAAAGACGAATACAAAGAAGAAGAAGAGACTGTCGAAAAACGAGTTTTGAAAGAGAACAAAACAAGAAAGAACGAAGATTTATAACCACGGTTGTTAAGTGGTTAGGAGGAAAACGTATTGAAGAAAATTAGGATGGTTTGCGAGTGATCTACATAAGAAAAATCAAACAAACATGAGTTAACATGTATAAGAAGAGAATCAACAACATTGGTTTAAGACAAGACTTGGAAAACAGTAGCTAAACTCACGTTTGAGTAAGCAGCAGATCTGAATTTCTTGATTCCACCGTTAGGTCTAACGTCTTCAATGATGTATCCAAGAGGAGCTTCGTAGAAAAGACTGTCACTACTACTACTACTACTACTATTACTAGACTTCTTTTTACCACCTTTAGTCTCCATTTCTCATTCACCTATCGAAGAGTCATATAAGAAAGACAGAGCAATTAAAAACTAGAAACAGAGTAAGGCCAGAACTCGGAGACAAATAACTATCTACAAAAACCATCTCAAAGGCCTCAAATCTCATACACAACTAAGATAGATTAAACGAGATCAAGATTGCTGAAAAATCAAACGTTTGTTAATACAATAACACAGATCATCAAAAGGATCTTACTTTTTTATGGGTCATCAAATTCCAACAAAACCCTAATAAAGATCTGAATCGAATCCTATTAATCGAAGCTTAAAGGTGGAACCTTTAGAATTACTTGAACAAACCCTAAACTCATAAAAGGCGAAAAGGCGATTCATTGAAGAAAGATTACTTACAAGTCAAGAAAAGGATTCTTTAAGTTAACGAACCAACCAATCTGATTAAACCCTTGAGAGCCAAAAACCTGTAAACAAAAAAACAAACGCGTAAGTATCGAACTCAAAAGAATGATCAAAGAGCATTTTCAAAACACAGAATCATAAATTAAAGAAACAATAAATAGAGATTTACCCTAATTAGATTGAAACAGGACAACAAGAATTGATTCGATGGGGAAAAATCAAATTAAATTTATCTATCGAAGTTTGAGTGTCTATGAAAATAGACCAAAGGGGTTTTGATTTTATAGTCAGAGGCTAGTAGATTGATATTACATATTTGCCCCTTATTTTAAAGACGAAGATGGCAATTATTTCAATTTAATGTAACGTAATCTCTATAAAGTATAAACGTTACATGGCCAAAGTAAGGAAAAATCAATGAATATGGAGATTTTTTTTTAGTTTATCTTAATTAGGAATTAAGTAGATGATATCTACTGTCAAATACTCAAATTATTATATTCAATGATTATGGATTTTTATTATGTAACATAGTTTTAATTTTTTCTGAACTAAAAAAAAAAACTAGATTATCGTAAAAACTAGATACACTCATACACATACTAAATTAATTTTTAAAATCTATAATAAATTATTAGTAATGATAGTATTAAATATGATAGTTTTCGTTGCTTTGACAGATATATAATAAAAAAATTCAAAATTATAATATCTTTATTTCTGGATTTAGTTGTTTTTTTTTTTTTTTGAACAAATCTGGATTTAGTTGTTTAACAAATGGAGTATAAAAGAATAGAACATGCATGATGCGTGATACATTACAATTCACAAGTTAAGATAACGTCAGTGTTTAAATTGCTTACAACACTGTGTTGTTGACAGAAAATGAAAATGTTGTTAGAATATATCCAAAAGAACCATTTGTGGATGCATCCAAAAGAACCAACTTTCGGTTTGTCCAAATTCCACAAATAAAATGCGATTGGCATATATTCCCTGGTAAAAGCTTTTAAACATCTATGCACTAGATTAAGACCAACGTCATATAGGATATGAAAACACAATAGAAATTGTTAATGTAAACATTTACTCTAGTTACTGTTAATAAATATGCTTAGTGGTAAAATTATTATGCAATTTCGCATCATATACTGTTTATAAACAAAAAAAATTGATATCTAATATACATATAATAGATATTTTAAAAAAGTATAGGAATACGAAGCAGTTCTCAAAGAAATCAACATGATGGCTTCGATTGGTAACCCCAAACTAAAGAAATGAATAAAAAAGATTTTGATTCTTCAAAATGTACACTATTTCAAAGTAAGGATTATTTGTCAAATTTTAGATACATGGATCCCACATGATTCCTCTCTATTACTCGTGTATGGATGAATCAATGAATACAAATTTTCCTCTCAAAACATGATAAGGAATACATGAACAAATATTGTAGGCAATTTTAATAGTTATTCAAAAATATTTGTTTATCATTTACGTTAACTTGTTCGATTCTTCATATACATTTTATTCCTCTTTATTCCTTTTTTTTATTTTATTCAATGTTTCAAATTTCTTTTTGTTCATTGTCATCTTCATTCCTACTGTTGTTAAACCAGCAATTGAATCCGATAAGATATCTCAACCTCAGCCCAAATTATAAGCAAATAGGCCCATTGGTTAAATAAAGCCCAACCCAGAACAGTAGTTCAACAAAACAAACACGACGTGATTGAAAAGCATGTATAGTCTGGTGCGTGGAAGACAAGAAAAGCAAAAATTTCTGTTTAGCCGACAAGACAAGTGTCAAATTATCATTCGATAATGTGAACTCCAAGTTTAGTTAGGGTTTTGTATAAATACACAGTTTCGTTCATTGTTAAAAACTTGTGAGAAAATATTGAATTAAGAAAACTGCTTATTATCGGATCTCTCTTTCTTTCTCAGTCATGATGAAACAATATTTGTTCAAGATCACCGGCTTCTTAAAAGCTCCTGTAACCATTGGTTTTGCTCTTGCTTCAGCGGCCGTCGTAGCTGTGGTTCAGCAGCGGGAATTTCTCATGGATATAGCCACGAAGAAGAAGGAGGATAAGGCGGAGAAGAAGAACTTGAAGGAGGAGGATAAGGCTGAGAAGGTGAACTTCAAGGAGGAAGAGGCGGCGGAGAAGTCGGCGGCGAACTTGAAGGAGAACGCCGAGTAGACGAGTTTAGTTTAGTAGTTTGTGTTTTAATGTTTCTTTTGCTTAATCAGTTTTTGTTTTTAATCGTTTGTTAAACATCGGCAGCTAATGATGTTTAGTTTCTTTTACTTAATTTCGTTTGTTTTTTTAATTTATTTTTAGTGTTTAGAATTGAAGAACTGATGACTACATCCAATATTTTGCTCAACATCAACTTTCATTCACCAATCATAATACACCTGTTGAGCAAAAAAAAAATCCGATAGTTTGCAATAAATTTGTTTACCTCAACCCTCATCTTATATATTACTTTCTTCCATAATTAATTATCACTAGAATATGGAATTTTTTATGGTAACAGGTTTTTTGGCCTTGACATTAAAATAATCCATCCAGTTTTTTTTTTTTTTTTTTTTGTTATTCTCTATGTTTCATAATATAAAATCTTTTAAATAAAAGTAGAGATTATTGTTTTTATACATCAAAAACAGAATTTAATAAGAGAAATTCCTAAAAATGGCCCTAAAACAAGTTTTATTGACAATAATAGCACACACTCCATAAACTTCCAAAAATAGCACTAGTTAACTTACTATTAGTGTTTTTGTTCTAAAAATTTTATCACTAGCTTTTTTTCAATAATACCACAACTTTTATATAAAAGCTATTCAACAAAATAAATTAGAAATAAATTTAAAATATTATATTTGGGTTCTCTATTTCCAATTTAGGGTATATATTTCTACCATTTAAAAGAGATTTTGATTCATTTTAATATTAGTTTATGGTATTATATTTGGATTCCCTATTTCCAATTTAGGGTATATATTTTCACCATTTAAAAGAGATTTTTATTTTAATATTAGTTTGTGGTATTATATTTGGGTTCCCTATTTCCAAATTAGGGTATATATTTCCACTATTTAAAACAATTTTGATTCAATTTAATATTAGATTAGTGTTTGCTCTCTTTTTTATTTTCTATCTTATATTTTCATTAAGTTTAATTGAAGTTTATGGTGCTATTTGTGGAACTTTTCAAATGATGTGCTATTTTTGGAAAAACAACTTTTTTGGGGCTATTTGTGTCAATCTCCCATTTAATATCTAATTATAGATAATTTTGTCAATAATAAAATATACAGCAGAATAGATCGTAGTCATAAAATCTATATAATTTTTGTATACAAATTTGATGAACATCTATTTTAAAACATCTTATATAGTAAAAAAACAAAACTCTAAAACATCTTATTATATGAAACTGATGGTATTAAATTGAGGGATTTGGCTGCATTGTAACAAAAATGATCAATTTTAAAATTATAAACAAATATATCAGTTAGAAAAAAATGAAAACAAATATTAAAAATGTAAAATTTATATTTAAGACATTTTTTGAGATAATTCAAATACCTTTGTTACACAACAATAAATTTGAAGTAAATGTCAAGCCATTTGTTACTTATTCAAAATTCACCTTTATGGTCAAAGCCTCTAATTGAAAATATCACTTTAAGAAAAATAGGAAAATCTAGTAATCAATCCAATAAATTAAAGTGGTGTTTTTCAATTTTAATTAGTTTATAATATAATTTTAAAGCGCGTATTTTTTTTGTTTGACAACCAAGTACTTTTTTGACAAGCATTATTAATAGGGTCATTTGCAAAAGTAGCCAATTTTGATAAAGTATTTAAGAATATAGCATCATAAAATCAAAAATTAAGTAAGTAACATGTATAGGGGATGAAATGTCCACAAACTCCTTCGTTGCTGCTTTTGGACGCGCAGTGGAAAAGATTAGTTTGGGCTGACGTGACGAACGTATAAGAAAAGGGATTAGTTGCATCAGAATTTTTTTTTTAATTCATTTTTTCGATAATAGTATTTCACCCCCATCAAATTTTCTTGCTAAAAAATCTCTTCAATATAAACTGATTCAGACTCCCAACTATATTGAAAAAAATAGATTTTTTCTGATTACGTCGTGGTTTGAATTTTTGAAAATGAACATAAATTATTACAAAATAGAAAATTGGTTACAAATTAAAACATTTGGTCTATTTAGAAGTAGAAGTGTAGAACACACAAAAAAATAGTATAGACAAAAAAAAACCAAGAACAAAACACTAATGATATACAATTTCACATATTGTGGTTTGCCAATGAAAACACCCTTATCATGACAATGACATGCAATATCATAGTAACACCTTTAATCAAAACAAACAATACTATTAGCCAAAATAGAATAATACAATTTCACATATAGTACAAGATAAACGTAAATAATACTCACAAAATAGAATAGTATCTCTCAAAAATCTCCGAAAATCAAAATCGATTTATTAGCCAAATCTCATTAGAATTTCCAGTGAGATTTTGTTAATCCTATTCATCATGAACAATTTCAAAAACCAATTAGCTAATGCATGTTTCTAAAATTCACTTTCATAAACAATTGCTCATGGGCGTCGAGATTGAGAATTTCTGGTATGAGGCTGATGTGAGATCCTTCCCGATATCACTGCCGTATTGTTCGGCGATAGCATCTCACAACCGCCACTAAAACTCAAGCACAACGCTGGATCCATCGGAGATTCCATAGTCTTGGTGATGAAACCGGATTCAACGAAGAGAAAGGATGTGAGTTGGAAGAACTGCACACACTTTTTTCATGATGTCTTGGCAAAAAAAAAAAAAGACTGTGATAATATGAAAGTGAAGGTGAATCGATGGGGAAGAAGACTCTAAGGAGAGAGAAAGGGCAAAACTGGGATTATACATAAAATATAGAGAATATCAACAAAATTTTTGTTAGGTGCTAGTTTCTTAATTATTAAATTTTTTGTGGTTATAGAATCATATTTCCCTTATTAATATGCTTAAAACTAGACCAAACGTTATAATAAAATAAAAGTAAAAAAAAAGCCCACCAAAAAAAAAAAAGTAAAAAAAAAAATAGTTCCTCAATTTTTTAGTAAAATTACCATTCAAGAAAGTGTAAGCTCCAAGTTAAGTTAGGGTTTTTGAGTAACGTCCAAGTTTTAAGACTTGGTATAAAAACATAGTTTCGTTCATTGTTAAAAACTCAAGAGCAAATATTGACTCAAGACAAGTTTTTCTTCATTAACTTCTTTTATCGAATCTCTCTTTTCTCTCTCAATCATCATGATGAAACAGTATTTGTCCAAGGTCACCGAGTTCTTTAAGGCTCCTATGACCAACGGTATGGCTCTTGGTTCAGCGGCCGTCGTAGTTATGGCAAGTAAGCGAGACCTTCTCATGGATCACTTAGCCACGAAGAAGAAGGAGTACTTGAAGGAGGAGAAGTCGACGACGGACTTGAAGGAGAACGTGGCGGAGGCGGCTAAGATGGAGTCGGCGACGGACGTCAAGGAGAACGCAGAATAGAGGAGTAGCGTTAATGAGTTTTAGTTTGATCTTTTGGTTTTGATGTTTTCTAGTTTGATCAGTTTTGTGTTTTTGTTTTAATCGTTCTTTTAAGTTTTAACATCGGTGGCTAATGATGTTTAGAGTCAAAACTTGATAATAACTAATACTTTTTCTTTATCACTAGAATACGGAAATTTTTGTTTTTCTTATTCTAAAATTAATTGAGACAAACGAACAAAGTGTTAGCGATTACACAATAAAATTAAAAAGTACTTAAAATTAAAGGATCATGTATTGATGAGAGATATTTGAAAGAAAAAAAAATTAGAGTTTCAATACTCGTCAATTGATGTAATGTTTTTGTTAATCTGTTTAGTATTTGATTTGATTATAATACAAAAAGTTAAACTTCTACTTTGAATTACAACAAGAACAATGAAGAAAGATGATGAAGAGAAATCCTGAAGCTAAACCGAATGGATACGGCTAGATAAAACCGGTTCTAGATTAACCGGACCTTAACGGTTATCCAAATTAGAGAGACTTTACTTTTTAAGCCTGCGACAGCTGAGACACTCTGTCTCACACAGAGTCTTTTAACATATTTTGAAATTCGAATTTATTTTTAAAATTATAAGAAAAGAAAAAAATTAACCTAAAATAAAACGAAAGAGAGATCTATCTTTTTGCTTCTTCGCATCGTCGTCATCACCATCATCATCAACAAATTCAAATCTGAAATCTGCAATTCACGAGAAGAAGCTTTTGTAACAATGGCGAATCCAATTCAAGAGGTACAAATTCGTTCCAAATTTTGGATTTTTCTCGATTAATGATTCTTCTGTAACTTTTGATTTTTTTTTGTGATGATGAATGAAGATTATTGAGAAACAAGTTCTAACGGTAGCGAAAGCTATGGAAGATAAGCTAGACGACGAGATTGCGTCTTTGGAGAAGCTTGATGAAGACGATTTGGAAGTTTTGAGAGAGAGGAGATTGAAGCAGATGAAGAAAATGGCGGAGAAGAAGAAACGTTGGATGAGTCTTGGACATGGTGAATACTCTGAGATTCATTCTGAGAAAGATTTCTTCTCCGTTGTTAAAGCTAGTGAACGCGTTGTTTGTCACTTCTATCGTGAGAATTGGCCTTGTAAAGTAATGCTTCTACTTTGTTTGGTTTGATTGTTTTTGGTTTTTGGGTTTTGTGTTTGATCTTTGATTAAGAGATTTAGAAGTGTGTGCTTCTTTGTCAATAGTTACTAGACTTGTTTTAGTATTTAAGGTTTAAGTTTGTGGGTTTGTGTGCATAGCTTGATTCTTCTTCCATGTGATCTTTGAGTTTCTTTAGAGCTTGTGAGGGATTAGTAAGTAACAATGTTGGTGGTATTTGCTGATGGGATTTGGAAAGTTTGTCACTTTGTTGGGTTGATTGTCTCTGCTTCTTCTCTGTAGTCACTAGACCTGTTTTAGCGTAAGATTCAAGTTCATACCTTGTGGATTTATCTGCTGATTCTTCCCTGTGATCTTTGAGTTTCTTAGAGCTTGCAAGTTATTAATAACTAACAATGCTGGAGATTTTTGCTGCTGGGATTTGAAAAGTTGTCACTTGTTGGTTTGATTGTTTCTGGTTTTGTAATGAGGTCTTAGGTACAGAAATTTGTTTCTTCAAAAATGGTGCTTCTTCTCCATATCCACTTTTAGCATAAGATTTAAGTTTATATATGCCTTGTGGATTTCTTTATATTGCCTGATTCTTCCCTGTGATCTCTGAGAATCTTTTGAGCTTGCTAGTGATTAATAGCTAACAATGCTGGAAATCTTTTGCTGTTGGGCTTCAAAAAGTTTGTCACTCGTTGGTTGTGAGAGATGCTGAAGAACCAAAAATTGTGCTTCGTCTTCATAGACACTAGACCCGTTTTAGCATAAGATTCAAGTTTATATATGCCTTGTGGATTTGTCATTGCCTGATTCTTCCGTGTGACCTCTGAGTTTCTTTAGAGCTTGGAAGTGGTGTAATAATAACTAACAATGCTCTTGATAAGTTATAGCAATGCTCTTTATAAGTGGATGTAATAATAAAAATGCTTATGATCTTGATAAGAGATGTTAAGCACAACAAAAAAAAATGGTGTTTCCTGTGCATAGCCACTAAGCCACTAGACCCGTTTTAGCATAAGGTTCAAGTTTACACCTTGTGGATTTTTCTGCATTGTCTAATTATTCCCTGTGATTTCTAAGTTTCATAGACCTTTGGAAATGATATAGGAACAATGCTCTTGTGTGTTTGCCTCCATGAAGATTTTCGCTGTCGTGTTTCATCCGAGTGTCAGGATTGTTCTGGTCTTGATAAGAGATTTTAGGACAGACATGGTGCTTCTTGTCTATAGCTACTAGACCTGTTTTAGCTTAAGGTTAACGGAAATCTCTATGCATACCTTGTGGATTTGTTTACATTGCCTGATCTTTCCTGTGATCTCTGGGGAGCTTGGAAATGATGCATGAAAAACTCTTGTGTATTACTTGATCTCTGTCATGTTTTTTTTGGAATGATTGATGTTTATAAACAGAAAAATCTTTGTGCAGGTGATGGATAAACACATGAGTATATTGGCAAAGCAACACATTGAGACACGTTTCGTAAAGATCCAAGCTGAGAAAAGCCCATTCTTGGCTGAGAGGCTTAAGATTGTTGTTCTTCCCACCCTTGCCCTCATTAAGAATACTAAAGTGGATGATTATGTGGTATGATAATAATAATGCTTCAAACAAGAACATCTTTATAATCTCATCTTTGGAATATGATTCGATGTTTTTATTATTGATAGGTTGGGTTCAATGAACTGGGAGGGAAAGATGATTTTAGCACAGAGGATCTGGAAGAGAGAATAGCCAGAGCACAAGTGATCCATTACGAGGGAGAGTCATCTCTTAAACCAAAGTCTACTACACAAGTCAGAAGGAACGTGAGGCAGAGTGCTCGTTCAGATTCTGACTCCGAATAGATCCTTAACAAGGGTTTGTTCGTTTGTATCATGTTGTTATTTGTAATACTAAGTAGTAATTCATCGTTTTGGTGATCTGAAATGGATGTTGGTCGTTAGATTGAGGAACATGCGATATCTAAAATACTAAATTGATGTTTTATATGGATCAATTTACGAGTTCAAATGTCAAAACCGCAACCTTTCTTGTTCTCACATCTCACTTATGTCCTTATATACTTGGGACAAAACTCACAACTAACCTAGCCAGCAAGTACTAATTTATATATCTTGAGCACACACACGGTTGTACAACATGGAGAGGGTAATCCTACGGCAAAACCACGCTTGTCGCCGACTTTTAGCCTTTCCTCTTTAGGTCCATTCCTTCCTTCACTTAACCGCTACAACCTCTTACAAAGTGTGTTTGTTTACACACTTGAGTACAACCCCTCCACTGCGACCAGAGGCTTTTGAGTTTGTTCTTAAAGTGTGTTTCTCTAAAGGACGAATCACACTCACTAAACTCATTGAATAAGATATTAAGAATCACTAATGGTTGCATTAGATCTCTTAAATTTGGGAAAACAATTATATAAGACACGTGATCATTTTGCTCAACTTGGTTAAACAATAGTAATATTAAACTAATAATCCAACAACAAATTTATTAATATTCTTATCGATGCAAGCTACTACTAGTCTACTACTACTAAATTATTCGACAAGAATCCAAATTAATGATGGCGAAACTTCTTGGTTTCATCGATATTTAAAAATATACAGGCATATATCCCGATTTCGATCAAACTGCAATAATGTCACAAATACATACGAATTCCACATACTACTAATAAAATTTTATACCAAAAGATTTTTTAAATATAAGTCATGGATGGGTCATGATCATGTATACAATACTTGAAAAAGTAAAATTTGTGGACATCATAAAAGATAGCAACTTTGATTTTGTCTATAAATATAAATTGTAGATGCCATATTCCTTGAAAAAAAATGAGGCCAAAAACATAAATTAAATAGAAGAAAGAAGAATATGATTCTTTTAACTTTTCAAATGTAGAAAAGTTAAACTATAGAACAGCCTGTCTCTCTTTGTTGTATTTAATTTATATCTAGTAATAAAAAGATTGACTAGGCAATATTAATTTTATTTATATTTAAATAATCAACGTCTTAATTACATAAAAGTTGGTATGGTATGCATTTTATTTTAATTTTACACGCATTCTCGTGTTTTGTGGTTTCTTCTAATCTCCATCGCGTATGACACGTACTCGAACGGACCAAAATACCAAAATTAATTACTCTAAAATACACTTACTACTTCAAAGTTCAAATACACATAACGTTGACAACGTAAACAGAAGATAAGCAAAATTCAAATTCTTGTAATCTTCAACCACGGAAATTACTCCATGTAATCTGAAGCTATGTAAATAAAATAATTCTGAACTCAATCAATCTAATTTGTAACCAAAAAAATCGAATCCTATAATAGGAGTTGACAAAAGAATATACTTACATCTTAATTTTTATTGAGACGTTTAGATAAAACAAAATAATATTTAAACCTCAAAATTTATCTATAAACGATTCGTTTTTAATCTAAAATATTAAAACAGGATCCGTTTTTTTTAATGGTAAATCAATTATATTATATCATAACAGTGTTACAACATACATGATATATGAACCATTCAAATAGAACCATTGAATTAAATAAAGAAAATCGAACACAATTTCGATGAAAAAGTGGAATTAACTCTGCTTTCCATATGATAGCCTTACGTGCAAAGTCTTCTCTTCATAAACCGGATTCGTTTTTAAGTGTAATTAGACAAACCTAAATTATATTTTATATTTTATAGCTATAATTTTTAACGGAAATCAAACTAGATTCAAATCTAAATCTCATCAAACTAATGGTTTTTACTGAATTTCGATATCTAGAAAACTACAAATAAAAATCCAAAACAAGATTGTCCAACTTTTTTTTTATTTTTTAACTATTTGTTTTATTATATACCAAAATTTTTTTTTAAAAAGGACTTAAAAATGGAAAAACAAATAGAAAAAAAGGACTTAAAAATTTTTTACAGATACGCAAAGCACTCCTTTCCACTCTCGTCCCGCTTCGCCTCTATTAGGGCAGAGAAGAAGAAGAGAGAGACTCGTAAGCAACAAATAACCCATAGCTCTCTCTCTCTCTCTCTTCTCTTTACACATCGCTGATTCTTCTCTGATTCTTGCCTCCTCGACGTCGTCTTCGGCTTTGTAGCATCTCGCCGAAGCGTCGTAAGTTCTCTTCTTCTCTAACCTCTTTGCTCTTCAGAATCTTAGATCGAATCTGCTCCTCATTTACTGCAATCTACGATCAAACACAGTTTCGTTATACGCCTCTAATGGTTTCTCCAAGTTCGTGTATGTTGTTCAATTTGAAAGCAAATTCATTTTTTGCAAAAATCGTGTCTTTTTTCAGATGGGTCATGTAGATTTTGTGTTTATTGCTTTAGGGTATTTGAAAAGTCATCGTATTTGAACAAAAGATCGAACCTTTATTGACATTCTTGGTTTTTGATCTTTGAACAGGTTGATTTGAGAAAGACCCAATTTGGATTTAGAAATTGTAATATTAAAAAATGGGTTACATAGGAGCTCATGGTGTAGCTGCTCTTAAGAAACACAAATACAGTGGTGTTGATCATTCTTATCTTGCCAAATATGTTCTCCAACCTTTTTGGAACCGTTTTGTCAAAATCTTCCCTCTTTGGATGCCGTAAGTCTCTTCCTTTAGTTTGTTTTTAAAGATCTCCTAGTTTCTTGGTTTGATGAAAGATTGGACTAAAGTGTTCCTTTTTCTTTTCATGTGTTCTCTTTGGGATGATCTATGTCCAGACCCAACATGGTATAAGTGAATTCTGTTTCGCATTTAAACTCGAATATAGTATAACAAAGGCGATAAACTCTTACGGGTTGTGTGTGTTTTGTTTTGTAGATAACACTTATGGGGTTCATGTTTCTTCTCACATCTGCTCTGTTAGGCTATGTGAGTTTGGTTTGATTTTCATAATTCTTTATTCTCTTGAAGCTTCTTGTTACTTTGCTCATATGGATTTTTTCAAACTGTCTTTAGATATACTCGCCTAAGTTGGATTCTCCTCCTCCTCGATGGGTCCATTTCGCACACGGCTTACTTCTGTTTTTGTATCAGGTCTGATTCTTTCTCTTTAGCATCCTAATTTCATCTGCTTGTTAAGGGTCATGTAATATTTTGTGCTGACATATTTTGAGCACTTACGATTGGTGTTTAGACATTTGATGCGGTTGATGGGAAGCAAGCGCGAAGAACAAATTCATCTAGTCCACTAGGAGAGCTTTTTGACCATGGTTGCGATGCTCTTGGTTGTGCATTAGAAACAATGGCATATGGGAGCACTGCTATGTGTGGAAGAGATACTTTCTGGTTTTGGGTTATTTCAGCTGTTCCATTTTTTGGAGCAACATGGGAACAGTAAGTGTTTTTATTTCAAGGTTAACTCTGTTTTATCGTTGCGAAATTCTAATACTTTGCTTTCTTGCTCTTTTGTGTTTAGCTATTTTACCAATACGCTTACTCTTCCGGTAGTCAATGGTCCTACAGAAGGTCTTGCACTTATCTACTGTGGCCATTTCTTCACAGCCATTGTTGGTAAGCTTCAACAATCTCAGAAAGTCTCTATCTCTAACAATTCATTTTTAATCTCTTATACATTTTTTTAATCTCAAGGTGCCGAGTGGTGGGCTCAGCCGTTTGGAAAGTCGATTCCTTTGTTTAGTTGGGTTCCGTTTTTAAACGGTAAAATTCCACAAACCTTGTGTGTTTTTTGTTGGTTTCCCCTAGTTTATTTTCTTCTGAGAAGTTTATTTAACGTCATTGGAACTTTTCTCGGTTCTTTTCAGAGATGCAAATGTCCAGAATAATACTATTCACGATGATTTTCTTCGCTGTTATACCAACCCTTGCAATCAAGTGAGTTTTCCACAATTAATCGGTCTTATGGTCTCTTTTCGAGCTGAGAAAATTGGTAACTTTTTCTATGAATTGCTCTGCTCATACGCACACTGCTTTATTCTACAGCACGTCTAATGTTTACAAAGTTGTACAGTCAAGAAAAGGAAGCATGCTTCTAGCATTAGCTATGGTAATAGTCTCCTGAAACCAAATGCTTATTCAATTACTTATATTTCGATTTCTTTTCTTAACTTCCATATGTAATGCCAATATTTTTTCTGTATTCAGCTATATCCCTTAGTCACGTTAATTGCAGGAGTTTTGATTTGGTATGTCTTTCTCTATTTTGTTTTATGACTTGCTCTCATTTACACTTTTGATTTGGTATGTCATTTTGACTTGCTCTCATTTACACATTGAGACTTATCGGTATCCTTGTCTTAATCAGGGATTACTTGTCTCCAATTGATCTCATAAGAAACTACCCTCACTTAGTTGTACTGGGAACTGGTCTTGCATTTGGATTCCTTGTGGTAAGCAATTTTGTTTCAAAATCGGAATTCATCGTTAAACATTGAATCGAAAAGCTGAATGCCTGAATCATTTAGTCATGGGTTATGATTGCAGGGAAGAATGATTCTAGCTCACTTATGTGACGAACCAAAAGGATTGAAAACAAACATGTGTATGGTAAAAATCCGATAACTTTCTTCTCGCTCGATCAAAATGTTTTCTTCTTAATCCTCACTAACCTTCTCTCTTGCATAGTCACTGCTTTACCTTCCCTTTGCACTAGCAAATGCTCTAACCGCTAGACTCAATGACGGGTATGTTTATTTTCTTTCGTTTACCAGTTTTTGCGATGTAGTTTTCATCAGATTTATATCAGATTCTATTAATCTCTTCTCAGGGTTCCTCTTGTGGATGAGTTTTGGGTTCTTCTTGGTTATTGTGTATTCACATTGTCACTATATGCGCATTTTGCAACTTCAGTCATTCATGAGATCACAACTGCACTTGGAATCTACTGCTTCAGGTTAGAATAAGATTAACACACTCTATCTTCTTACCATTTTATTGTTTATGTTTACGAAAATCTGACAAGTTTAATCTTATTTCACCAGGATTACTCGTAAAGAAGCTTGAAGAAGCAC